GGCAGAAAAGTATCTTTGTAGGCGTCTAATTAACCCCTCTAATCGCTGTTTCTGAGGAGAATTAACTCTTTTCAGAGCTGCAGCCAGGCCTGAGGTGCCTTCTTGACCTTTCTGCTCTTTTCCAGACTGCCAGCACAGTTCTGTGTTGTCCTCCAGGATCTCCTCTGGTCTTGTGCAGGAAAGTGTAGGCACGGGCTCGCCTTTGCACAGCCCATAGATTTCAGACAGAGGGAGTTCAATATGTGCTTCAATGTGTGCTTCTTTGCTGGTTTGGGGACATCCTGCTCAGCACGTCCAGCATTCAGCTCAAACTGCAGAGCAAACCCCAATTCTGGGCCTGGAAGAACACCTTACCAGGTCAGTGCTGCAGGCAGAAGTGAGTAACTGCAGGATAACTCTTGGAAACCAAATTCTTATGAGAACTGAGGGAGGACTTGGAGGCCTTTAAGCTTTCCAGATCAGGGCTTCCTTGAGGAGATGCAAAGGGCTGAGAGATGCAGTGCAGGGAATGGTGCTGCTGGTGTTTTTCTGCCCCCTGAGAAGCTGGTGATGGTCACAGCGGATGTGGTGAGTGCTGTGTACCTGAGGCTGCTGCTCGTTTAGCTGAGCTGCTCTAGTTGCAAAATTCTTTGGTGCTTTTCCTACTTCTGGCTGGATTCTAATCCATCTCCTGCAAGTGGCAGATGGAGAAGGATTTGCTGTGTTTTCTGTGTCACAGGTGCTGTGACAATGCTGCAGGTGGCTGCTGGCTCTTGGGGTACCTGTGATTTGGGGAAGAACTGCTGCAGGGTGCTTGTGTCAGTCCCAGGGACGTCTGTGATTGCAGATCTGTGGGATGGACAGACTTCTGTGTCACTTCAGGACTGCTTGGGTGTCATTCATGCAGAATTCATTTAACAGAGCGCAGCAAAGTCAGGTTTCTTGTCCATGGAAACGTTGTAAGGAGTTCCTTTATAGTTGTAAGAACACCAACCTTAACTTGTGGAATGCCTTTCCCAAAAGTGACTGCTTGGTGAAGCTCTGTTCATCACCTGGTTCAGATCCTTACAGGAAATACTCTGTTGGAGGAGGAAATTTGGCCTTTCTGTGTCTTTGCCTGGTGTCTCAGGGCAGGTGATGACCAGGGTCTGGTACATGCATTGCCAAATGTTCTTTTCTGAAGGAAAGCTTGTAGAATCCCAGAACAGTTGGGCCCTTAAACATCATCTCTCCCATGGACAGGGATTCCTTCCACTATCCCAGGTTGTTCCAAGCCTTGTCCTTGGAATTCCAGGAATGGAGCAGCCACAGCTTCTCTGGTCACCCTCTGCCACAGCCTCCCCACCCTCACAGGACAGAATTTATTCCATTTATCCAACCTAAATTTCCCCTCTTTCAGTCTGAATCTCTTACTCCTTGTCCTATCACTACAATTTCTGCTAAAAAAGCCTCTCCAGCTTCAAGATTCTGGCAGGCTACAAATTCTTTACTACACTGCTGCAGGTACTGATGCTTTTCCTCCACGTCTGAGCAGAGTTTTGGCCCCTTCCCATCCACACCACGCTTGCTGATGGTATTTTGATGAGGTTTTTCCTTTAGAGACAGCAAGGACATAAACCAAGGAGACAAACTCAGCCTCTTGGGCTTTCAAATGCTGTGTGAAGGGGTTTTCACCTCAGAGCAAGGGGGCTGCTGCTTAGGTGGGCTTGTTTGTGTTCTGTCCCTCACTTCATCTGTCTCATCTGCTGAAGGCTCCTCTGCAGGGGGATGCCAGGCCCTGAATGCACTCTGGGCAATTAGCTCTCTAAAGCGTTATTTATTACAATTATTTTTATTTCAAAGTGGGTCAAGCCGTTTTGGCATTTCAGGCGTTGATTCCTGGTTCAATTGCAGGCCGTGGTCGCCATGGCAACTGCAGAAAGCGTTCGTCATGGCTGTGCCTTGGGCTGGATTCAAAGTGCAGGGAATGAGCAGGAGCAGGGAGAGTCTGGAGGGGCTCGGGGCAGCCCTGTGCTCTCTGTGCCCATCCTCGCTGTCACTGGTTAACACACACATCATTTTCTCTGTCTCAGGAGCCCTTCATGTGAGAAATATTCAGCTTTTCCCAGTCATCAGAGAGTAGGAGGGGAATTCAGCCCTCCTGGGTTTCGTATTTGTGCCATTCAGGGAGAGCCAAAGAAGGAGCCCTTGATGTTATTTCCCCCCTTATTTCTGCGAAGGTGAGAATCCACACACACCTACCACGATACATGTGGATGGATTTAATTTTTTTTAACTAAAATACGAGCTTGGAGGGCAGAATCTGCCCAAGGTTGTGCTTGGCAGAGCTGGCACCGAAAGTTGTGGCTATGGCAGCGTGATCTGGGCAAAAATAAAATGACCAGCTGTAAACAAGTCAGTGCTGATGCTGCTCCTGTGCAGCTGCAGTGCTAGGGCTTGAAAAACCCACCTTGAGGAGCTTGGTCTGACCTTAAAAAGAGTAAAATAGCACCAAACCTTCCAGCATTTTTCATCTTGAGTTTCACCTGCACGTGATGGCAGCTGTACCCTGCTTTCAAGCTGCTCATGCTGAGCTTTAATTGAGCAGCAGCAAAATCCCACAAATGCAAACTGAAAGCAGACAGAGCCTGCGCTGAATTTGGCTTGGTCTTTACAGAGCTGCCCTAAACTCAAGCTCAAAGTGAAACTGTGGATTCACACAAACTGAAAATGAGACGGAGGTTGGGCCTGGTAAACTCAGGTTTTGTAGAGCTGTAGAGGGAAAACTCGTACATCTGTTCAGATTTAGTGCTGGGCAGGGACAGGGGCTTCAAGTTCTTGCCTTGTGTTTTTGGGGACCTCTCACATAAATCAGCTTATGTTGCACGCTGGGGACAAGCAGGACCAGCACAGCCTCAGAATTCTGAGGTTTTAACTAGAAGTTACTTTTTCTGTGGTTTGTAAAAATGACAATTAAGAACCATGTCCATCTCTGGGACCACTGTTGATGAACTTGAAGTCACTAATACAGCTCTGCTGGGCTGCTAAAATTGAGTTTAGCAGGAGAAGGAGCAGCAGGAGCACAGACAAGATGAAACACCCAATTTTACTGGATCAGCTGAAAACCTATGGAGGAGCCTGGTGCTTTTTAATACTTCAATAAACTAAGAAATCCCTGATAATTTTACTTCATGTTTTACCTAAACTGCTGCAGGCAGTGCTGCTGGGAGAATGGTCCAGATAATTTTTTTAATTTGTGTTTTGCTTCAGTTATTATTTGCGGGGATTAAATCTTGAATATTCTTACAGTTCTTGCTGCACTGGTTTAACATTCAATATTCCTGTGCCTTGTCCAGGGAAAGGGAGGGCACAGGACAAGGTGATGTGACAATATTTCACCTGGGGATGTGCCATTGCTCCTTGTGAAGAACCCCAGGCCAAGTGGGAATTTCTCTGTCTTTGCATGGAGCTGCCTTGAGGTTTAGGTGATATTTGAACAGGTTTTTATTGAAGAGTGGTGAAAGCATCTTCTCAGGGGCTGCTGTGAAGCTCCTTGCTGCTGCTCCTGCCCGGTGCCAGCTCCTAGGAAATCTGATTCTGGCCCTGTTTGCATAAGCAGCTTGGCTCTGTGCTTCCTGCAGGCTGTCCAGGGAAACTTTCGTCACTTGTGCATTGACACAAGCAGTGAGCAAATAAAGGATAATTTAGGAGACCGGTTCATCCAAAACCAAACCAACCCAAACCCGGTAACTGCTGGAGGAGTGCGTGACACAGGCTGCTCACATCGAACTCACGCTTGTAGAATGGTTTTGGAATCTTCAGGGCTAAGAAGAGATGGACGTGGTTTTTTATCTGGGAATTAAGGAAACCTCAGCTCAGCTCTTCTTGATTTTCAGGGAGGAAATGATCCATTTGGAGTACCTCGCCGTGCAGCGTTGTGATTGCTGTGTGTAATTTAAATCATAGCCCTTAAGAGTCTGATTGCAGCAACCTCTTTAATTCAGTCCCTCGCAGCTGGAATTCCTCCATCCTTTTCCTGCTGCCTCTGCTGTCAGATGTGGCCTGTTTGGTGTTGCCCATGAGATAAGAGGGTCCTGAAGAAGTCAGCACAGACCCAATCCTGCATGCCAGGCTGCTCTGTAACCTGCTGACTTGAGCAGCACCAGCTGGAAAAGCCTTGAGGATGTCTGGGCTGGTCAGAAATAGATTTGACTCCTGGAGGAAATGAGTGACAGAGGGAAAATGGGTGTAGTGTGTGGTATTTTAAAGAGTCTGGCAGGAAGGAGAGGCATCAAAAGAGAAGGAGCAGTGAGGAAATCTGAGCTTTCCTGTTCTGTTGCTGGCTTGCTGATCTGGGTGCTGAGGCATTTGCTGAGGAAAGGGGATGAGAAGTTCCATTCCCCTCATAATTTCTGTAAAACTCTGAAAGGCCTTGCTTTTCCCATTGTGAAAGAGGAACTTAATTTTTATTATTATTATTTATTTTTTTTTAATCACAAAAGCTTTTAGGTGACAGCAAACCATTTTCATGCCCGGCTCTAGGTGGTGTGAGAAGGGATGGTTCTGTACAGGAAATGCTGCATTGAATGTCATCATGACTCCCCTCCCAGAGCCCCAGCGTTTCTGATGCTCTTTGATGGGGTGTTTTCTGAAAGGTGTGACCCCATTTTTGTGCATCCTGTTGAGGAGAGCTGCGCTAATACAGGAGGGGCAGAGCGGGGCTGTATTGAGGATTGGTTCTTGAGTGCACTTTTGATTTTTCTAAGCTCAGGTCATCATTGGAAACTCCAGGAGCGCGCAGGAGTCAACGAGTTTGTTCTCGTGGGCATCGCTCTGTGGTCTGAGGGTTTGAAGGGCGGGTGGAGAAAGGCACAGCCAGCAGTTCCTCTGCCCCTGGTGAACGAGAACTGCCTAAACCCACCGGGGGCAGCGGCTGAGGAAGCAGCTCTGCCTGCTGCTCTCTGGGGAGACCCGTGGGGTGCAGCAGTTTCAGTTTGGAGATGGTTTAACCCTGCTCTCTTTTCCCTTCCTCCCCTCTGCAGTACTGCCAGTAACTCCAACCGCAGCACGCCCGCCTGCTCCCCGATCCTGCGCAAACGCTCCCGCTCGCCCACGCCGCAGGACGCCCCGGGGGACGCCATGGTGGAGAAGGGCTCCGACCACTCCTCGGACAAGTCCCCGTCCACGCCGGAGCAGGGTGTCCAGCGGAGCTGCTCCTCCCAGTCAGGCCGCAGCGGGGCCAAGAACTCCAAGGTGAGGGCGAGCAGAGGGCTCTGGCCGCCGAGCCGGACCTGCGCCGCGCCGGCTTTGTCCTCTGCCTTTTCTTTCTCTGTCTCACTTCCCTCCCATTCTGAAGGTTCTCCTAATTCAGAGTCCTTTGCTTCGGTCAGACTTCAGCACAGAGTCTACAGCTTTCTGTAGTCAAGGTCCTGTTCCTTGGGAGGCTCTGTGGTTCTGAGAAAGACCTTGAAAACCGGCTGGGGCAATTACTTTTTATCACCTGGATCGTGGAGGGGCATGAAATAAATAAGGTTTCCCCTGTGAAGGGCCTGTGCATTTCCCCAGTCCCATCCAAGCCCTCTGAGATCAGTTCAGATGTCACAGAATCAGTTTTGCAGCCCTCTGCCCATTTCTTGCATGGCTGCAGTGTTATTATGACTGGCTTGCCCAGGGTAGCTGATATGTTCCCCAGGCAGGTTTTGTGTCTTTGGGCCATCTTAGAAACAGCCTTGTCTTTGCTGTGCAGGGTGAGAGGGTTTCAGGTTTGGCTGTAGGTTTTTGTGTGAGCAGTGGGAGCTGGTGAAACAAGAGCCTGGGGTACCAAACAAACCTTTGACCCTGGCATCAGGGATGTGTTAGCTGTCAGGAGCGCTTGTGTTTGCCCAGATTTTTGAAGTGAGATGTTTCAGCCTGAATAATTGTGCAGGCAGAACTCTGATGGCTTGTGTAAAATGAATTGTTAGCTCTTTGTCTGATTAACTGCTGGATTGTGTCACAGACAAGAAATCCTCATCCCCTCCCCTTTGTGGCCACTCAGCAGAGGGAGCAGGACTCGGTGGCCCACATTCTGATCTCTCACCACTACGGGGGGGAGTCTGGGAGTTCAAAAGAGGGGGGCAAAGGGTTTTTCAAGCTGAATCATTGGCGTTCTGAGGTTGCCCTTGAGGTCAGCCTGGCTTCCTGTGCACACAGTGACCTACAAACCCCGTCCCAGGGCTGGTGACACCCTCAGCACGAGGTTGCCAGCACTGTGCTCCCAAAAGGAAGCCGTGGGATGGGATGGGAGGCAGGCAGGGTGCAGGGCACGCTGTGCTCAGAGCCACGCTGGGGATGCTCGCAGGGAAATGGGCTCCTTGGCAAGGGGGAACCACAGAGAGGAGCTGCACCGCCCTGGCCCTCAAAATGCTCTGAGTTAAAGTCATGGCAGTGAGATTTTTGCCAACACGGTGACTGCTAAAGCTTAACTTCAATTCCTGGTGCTTTCCACAAGGAAGAGGGGGTAAAATGCTCTCTGTTGGGTGTGTGGGTTTTCCTTCTCTTGATCTGCGAGGTAATTTTTCTTCTTTCCCTAATTTCTCTCTTTTCATTCCTGCATGCTTTCTCTCCGATTAAGTCACACAAGCGCCTCTCCAAAGTAAGCCTTCTTTTTTCTCTCCTGTCCCCCACTGTAGAGCTGTCTCATCACTCAGAAGCCCTCCCCGTGGTGCTGAGTGCTGACCCCAGTCAGGCATTCTCCTGCTGTGGCTGTGAGAATGTCAGCAAGAGCTCAGCCCCGTGCCTGTAGCTGGAAGCTGGGTTCACTTACATCACTGGCATCTGGCTGATATTTGCTCACACAGCCTGAGCACTGGCCTGTTCATCACACCCCTTCAGCTGCTTCCAAATCAGCCTTTAAGTCCTCTCCCTTGCAGTGAGCTGCTGTCTTTGCCAGGGAGAAATCCTCTGGAGTGCTGGACACGAAATGATTCACACAGACACAGCTCAATGTGGGATAGGAAAAAGTGTGATTTATTCTTGGTGTCAGTATTTATAGATTCTCCACAACGGCCAGGGATTGGATAGTCAGGTTACCACAACCACACTGGTCGTGGGAGATGTCCATTTCTTTAATGGAATGTATAAACACCTATGTTTATAGCTACTTTCCTGGGAAAGTGGCTAGAAACAGTGAAAACAAGATCAGAAGGTTTAATTCTCAGGGCGACACTGGAGTTGGACAGAACCATGATCCCTTCTCTCTCCTGTCTTCTTCCTCCCTGATTTCAGAAAGGAGAGTTGTTCTCCATGACTTCTTCCCTGCTTTTCATGATAAATAGCATTTTTGTGGCCAGTGATCTCAGCTTACTGCCCTTGCACGCTCTCCTGTGTGATGTAAATATTAAAGATCAGTGATTTCAAATGAACCCAGCTTGAACCTGGTAGAACAGACCTGTCCCAAATGAATTGTGAGAATTCATGGGCTCGCTCTGAGAGGTGATAAGTGGAAGATCCCTCTGTGGGTGCTTGAATTGGAGATAAGATCATTTGGGATTTGATCTCACACCTCTGTGCTACCCTCAGAAGAGTGGAAAAATCAGAAACGCAGGTGGGATGTTGTTGGAGAAAGTGCCAGGCTGTTGGCATTTCCACTTGATGAAAGCAGAATGGCTTGGATGGCTTCACAGAAATCCACAAAATCCTTGTCTTGGCCTTTCCCCAGTGGATGCCTCAGGTTTCCTTCTAGGCAAGTTCTCAGAGAGCAATGCTGGCTCACGTCTTCCCTTGGTCTTGGTCCTTGTGACCAGCCTGACCTTGCATGATCTGCTGGTGTCTGCTGGAAGCTTCTTGACGTCTTTTTTTTAGGCAGATTGTCTTGTGCTTGGTGTCTGTAGCTGGGATAACTGCAAAGGAGCACAAAGGGGGGACTAAAGTCTCAAGGTGAGGTGTGAAAGAAGTGCTGTGGAAGGTCTGGAGTAGCAGAGCCCTGACAGGATTGCTGGTGAGTAGAGGTGTGTGGGCCACGCAGGCTGTGGGAAGCTGGAGGTGCAGAGGGTTTTAGGAGAGGGATTGGTGGGAAGAAGCCTGGAACAGAGGGATGTCTGTGTAAAACGAGTGTGCAGTGGTGCTGTCAGGTGCCTGCAGCCAGCCCCTGCCCCTCGGAGAGGGAAAAGCCCAACCACTGTGAGGCACCTGGAGAAACTGCAGGGAAGTGGAGCCCAGCTGAGTTCAGAGGGAAGGGGATCCTGGGCAGGACCCCCAGCAGCCTGTCAGAGCCTCCTGCCCTGCTCACACTGAATATTCTGAGCTGGATCATCGAGTGTGCAGCCTGGAGCTCTGTTCTGTGCTCCACAAGCTGCTTCCTCTGGCACAAATGAAGAATTTCCAGGCATTAAATCCCCTGCTTCTCCCACGCAGATGATTCTGTTGTCTGCTCATACAGGGAGAGGTTAGGAACAAAAAGCTGCAGGGCAAAGATTTTAAACTCTCCTTTCTCAGCCTCTTCTCCTCTCCCCACCCATCTCCTGCAGGAAGAATGGTTTGGTTTCCCAACCTGTCTGGCTAATGAGGTGGAACAGCTTGAGCCCATGAGTTTGCTGCTGTGTCGGTACAATTGCTGACAGATCTGCTTGAGTTCCCTGCCCTCTTTTGTCTGTGCTGTTCTGTCGTGCTGCAGCGCTGCCGTCAGAGGGAGTGCTCCGCCAGGAGTTTTTAAGCACTGGAATTGCATCCCAAGGGAATCTTTCTGCCTTTGCCACCTTGATCTGTGCCACAGACCAAGGTCTGAGTCAGCTTTTTGGGAGAGCTTTCCAAACCCAGGAAAAACTCATCTTTTTTTTTTTTGCTAGTAGCCAACGATGAAATATGTATTTTTTAACTATTTTGCTCTTGCCCGAGGATAAAAGTGGTTTCCTTTAGATTCTTCCCAATGCCTGTAGCTAATGGTGAATGCTGAGGATTAACATTAAGTTAGGGGGAAAATGTGAATTTTGGTGCAGGTCCTGGGGGGTACAGAACAGTTTAGGTGGGGAGGGATCTCAGGAGGTCTCTCACCCAAGCCCCTGCTCAAAGCAGAGTTAAATCAGCTTGGTCTAAACCCTTGTCCAGCCACATTTTACAGCCCTCCAAGGCTGGAGATCCCACAGCCTGGCCAGGCCCCTGCTCCAGTGCTTAACCACTCTTGTGAACAGGCTTTTTCCTCCTCTCCAAGTAGAATTTCCCCTACTGCAGCTTATGACTGTTGCACCTTGTCCTCCCAGTGTGCCACGATGAGAAGAGTTTGGCTGTGTCTTCTCATTCACCCCTCCCACCGGGTGGGACAAACCCCCTTGAGGTAGTAGGCAATGAAATTCTGATCCTTTGGGGCTGGGGTGAGGGTCTGGGGAATAAATTCCATCAATTTCCTTGAGTTCTGGCCATTTAGAAGCCGGGTGGGCAGCGCAGCTTTTGCAAGCGCACAGATCAGGAGAGAGGGCTCTGGGATCTGCTCCAGGCTCTGGTTCTGTGCCTCTGCTTCCCCAGGTGTGAAGGGGATTTAGGGATGCTCCTAGAGCTCTGTGGCACGCCATTCACTTGGCAAAAGGTTTCTGTTCCCCTGGGAGCAGCAAGGAGTGAGTTGTGGTGCTGCTGCCAGTGATGCTGAGAAGTAGAAAGCGTTTGGGTGGAGTTCTGGGGGTGTTCTGTGCGTGACCCGTGTGCCCTGCAGAGCTGTAACCTTCCCTAGCAGAGCATGCAGGTGTCAGGGCACTAAATCATGACTGGTTAGAGGCAGAAGTTAAAGGCTTAGAGAAAATATCCCGTTTTTCACATTCCTCCAAAGCTCTTCCTGGTTACAGCCCCCTTGTAACCACGAGCTCTGCTCTGTGCTCCTGTAGCATCGTCTCTGCAAGCCAGTCCCATCTTCTCCCTGTCTGTGTGCAACCCCCTCCTCCTGCTACTTATTTATTTTGTCTTTTCAGTTCTAATGCTTATGGTTTCTTTTTCCAGTATGACAGACTTAACCTGCTCAAAGTAAGAATATGTTTTTCCTTTTTCTTTATCTTTTTTCTCCCCCCTCCTCTCCATTTTACTGCTTCTTGATTTTCACAGTTCGCATCTCCCTCTCAGTGAGCTTAAAAAAAGGATAAAATAGAAGAGAGATTTAAGGGCTGAGGTTGTTTGGACTTTGGACAAGTCTGTTGAACTTGGTGGAGGCAAAAGACAAAGTCTGAGTGTTGGTGTAATTAAGTATGTTGTTAAAATCACGGACATCAGCATAATTACGGATGTCACTATAATATTTTTTGTGTGGAAGAGCTTAAAAAAGAACTTGCCGAGCTCCTTTATAGAGGACACTTGATTCAGGGAAATTCAAGTGTGAGGAGAGAAAAAAAAATACAGTTCCTGCAATGAATGCAGCAGAGATGAAATGCTGCTGGGCTGTGCTGACACCACAGCATGGGCACCCTGATTGAGAAGGCACAGTGACAGCAGTGCCTCTGTTGTGCTTGTGCCAATTATAGTTTGATTATGAGGGGTTGTTTTTTTTTTATCCCAGGAATTTCTGAGCTACGCCTTTTGCTCATTAAAGCAGACAGATGGCAAAACAAATCTGCAGGAAAATCACTCTATCTCAGGCCCTGTGCTCCTGAGGACAAGGTGCTGTGTGCACGGTTCAGATTAATTACCCTGGTTCTTTTTTTAGTGTAGACTGGGTTGCATAAGGCTTTTTTCCACGTCCTACTTGCAGGGAGGGATGACTTCAACCCAATCCTTTATGAATGGATCAGGTATGGCCAAGTATGGAAAGGAGTGGGAAGTAAGAGGAAATTCCTCTGGTTGGAGGAATGGGTGTGAGATATGAGCCATACTCTGTGTTCAGTCCCTCAGCTCATCTCCTTCCCTCAGGATTTGGGGAAAAAAAATGTAAAATTCTTGTATTTTAGCCTGTGTACTGTGTTAGTGTGGGGCTTTTCATTAGAGTCTGGGAGCTCTGCAACAGATCCTTCAGAAATGTTGGCTCCAAGAGTGGGATCCAGTGAGGTTTTGTGGCTGGGAACTTGGAGCAGAAGATCCAGGGGTGGGAACAGAGCAGCCCCTGTATCTTCACCGAAATCTCTGGTCCAATCTGACCTCATTAACACTTCTCCTCCTTTCCTGCAGCAGAGCACCCAGTGTGTCCTTGGTGGGCACTTTCTGTGTCCCTGTGAATATTCCAGGGAATTCCCAGTGAAGCTCCCGCAGCCTCTGCGGTGAGGCACAGCACGGAATGTTTCCCTTCCTATTCCAAACCAAGTGCAAAGCCTGGAAAATCCTCCAAGGTCAGGAGCAAGATGGCTTCAAAGGAGGAAGGGCAGTGGAATATTGCTTCTGTCCTTGAGTGTTATCCTCAGCTCCCACCAATGGGAAGTGTTTGGGAGAGGGGCACAGCTGGAGCTGTGGGAAAGGCTCTGGTGCCCCCAGGCTTCACTGCCCTGAGGGAAATGCCCCCCAAAAAAGGGGATTCCTGTTTATCCTGGCAGCTCTGCCCAGTGTCCTGCTGATGGAAAGCCAGCCTGGCTGGAGTGGGAGAGGGAAGCTCATTTCTTCCTCTCCCTGTGAAGATAAACCTCACCTCCAGCTGAAAACTGCCAAGCGTGACTTTCCAAGCTGAGCCAGCTCTTTTGTGTGCTCCAGTGTGACATGGGGCCTGTCCTCTCCAACCATCTGAAATGCCATAAGGATGGAAAAAAAAAAATATATATATATAAAGAAAATCACAGGTGCAGATGATGCAAAACACTGTGCACTGAAATGCTGAAAAAAAAAAATCCTAGCCTTTTATTTTTTTTTTTTTCCCTTGCTTAGCTTCTGTAGGGATTCTCTACAGCACTTTTCCTGGCTCTGCGTGCCTGTGTCTCCCTTCTGAAATTCAAAATACTCTTGGGACATTTGTATTTTGTGAGCTGAGCTGTGTCCCTGCCCTTAGCAGTGCTTGGGGGGCTGTCCAGGACAGTGAGAGTTTTGCCACCTGGCCAGTGGAAGAATGAAGCCCCTGAAGAGGTGGCTGGAAGTGGTGATGATGTGATGGTGATGGTGATGATGGTGATGATGATGATGATGATGAGCTCCTCTGTCGCTGGCTGGCACTGCTGGTCTGCAGACAAGCTGGCAGCATGTCTGTGTGTGCATGTGGACATGCACACCTTGGCCTGAACTGTTTCCTGTTCCAGACTCCTGCTGCTGGATTTGTCCCTTGCTCTTGGGATAACTCTGTTAGACCACACTGTGAAATCCATTGAAATCTTCTGTTTAATCCCACTTTCACTCCACTAATGATCCAAACCAGATTGGACCTGCTTTCTCTGTCCCTCTTTCTTTTTGATCCTAAGATCTCTGTGCTAACTAATGCTTCTCTTTTATTTTGTCCTTACAGAAAAGCCAGAGTTGGTATAATGTAAGTACTCCCGTTTCTCTTGTCCCTGGGTGGCTGGGGCTGGGCGGGGGGAAGGTGCAAAGGGGCTTTGCAGGGGCACCGGGGCACTCTGACCATTTCCAGGAGGAGCTGGGAATGGCTCAGCACTGGCAAAGGAGGCCTGGCATCCTGAGGGAAGGGATGCCAGAGACAGAGAGCAGGAGCTTTGTCCTTTGGGTCACTCTGGTGCTGCTCCCCACATCCCGCAGCCCTGCTGGCTCAGCACGGGGGATGTGGGGACACGTGGGGACAGACAGAGCTGCCACCCTGCAAAGCCTTTGCATCTCTCAGGGCGGTGCAGGGGCCACAGAGGAATCATTTTCTACCGACCCTGGAGAAACACCAACCACCCTTTGCTTCTGCCTTGGTGTTTTTTCCTTCTGCCAGCACGAGCGGCCCCGCTCTGGGCACGGCGTCACCTGTGCACGGTCGAGGCTCTGAAGCAGCCATAGGCAAATGCAGCAGCCACCCCTGGTCAGGCACAGCTCCTGCAGCTGTCAGAAATGCGAGGTTTTGGCTGCAACAGCGAGGTCAGGATTGCCAGAGGGGAGAGGCAGAGTTAGGAGCCCGCTGGGTGCCAGCAGCACCGGGCACAGCACGGGCAGGACGAGCTCTCAGGGGCACAGAGGGACCTTGGAGAATAAAACACAAACCAGGGTGGGCCAAACTGGTGGAGAAGTGGCAGATAAGGACTGAGCAGATGCCTGGGCCTGACCTGGCTGCTGCCAAACCCTGACTGTGTCACCAGGCTAGAGGTGACTTTGGCTCTTACTGCTTCTGCCTGTAGCTGCTGAGCTCCGTTCCCTGCTGCATGGTGCTTTGCTGTGCTCTGCTTCTGTGGGTCTCTTGTGTTTTCATGTCCTCTCTATCTTATCTTTCTGTTCTCTTGTTTTTCCTCCATATATTTTCAGCATGAGAGACAGTACATCCGGAGAGTAAGCACTGGCTGCATTTTTTTGTGGTTTTCCCCACCCCACCCCGTTATTTTCCTTTGTAAATGAAACGAAACAAACCCATTTTCTAGTTAGCAGAGACATTCTGGCCAGATAAAAGCAGCAGTGTGAAAATATGGTTGAGCCACAGACTCCAGGAAGTCAGTCAGTCCTACCTGGCAGTGTAATTTCCCAAAAAAATTTGCTAATGCATCTCCTTGATAGAGCTGCCCTTTGCCAGCTCCTTCCAGGCAGGATTTCTCTGCCATTTGGACCATTCTGATTCCTCCATTCCCCTCCCCTCTGGGAGCAGCTCTAGAAATGAATCTGCCTCGTCATGAAACCTCACAATTCCCTTTGCTGGCTTCCCCCCACTCCCATTTTACACAAACCCCACCGTGCCCAGAGCAAACACCCTCCACACTGTTCTGTGTGCCAGGCACCGTGCAAACCCAGCCCAAAAAACAATCCCTGCCTCAAACAGCACATGGCCCTCAAAGATCTGCAGTGCACCACCAGTTTTGCTTCATTTTTTTGCTGCTTTTAACTGGTCTTCTTGTCTCTGGAGCACTGCATTCCTCTTTGCCAGTTGGAACCCTCCCTTTCCCCTCTCCTGGACTCCTTTTTCTCTATTTTTTTTTTTTTCCTTAAGCTGCCACCAGCTTCTCCTGCCTTGTGTGTTCTCCATTCGATCCCACCAGCGCTTTTTTGGGATTGTCATCCCTGCCCCGTGGAGAATTGGGAGGAAAAGGAGGTGAAGTGAGGTCATGGATTGGTTTGGCAGACCTGCCCCTCTCTCTGGCTGTGCTTTCTCTGCTTGGCTTTGCAGAGGACAAATGCAAACTGGTGCAGGTGCACTGTGAGATTGAGAAGAGAACCCCAGTTTGGGAATAAATGCACTCAGACTTTTTGGGGTTTGCTTTGTGTTCTTGTCCTCGTGGTGGAAGAGCTTTCCAGTGGAAAGGAAAAATCCCTGAGGTGCCTCTCATGCCTTTAGTGAGGAATTGTGTACATGGAGACTTTGGCTTGGGAATATTGTGTTTTTTAGGGGGGAAAAATGTGTTGGTCACTCGTGGTTTAACCATCAGTTGTGTTGCGTGTGTCTGCATGGTGAATTAATGTTAATGAATTTATTATTTTAAAATAATTTATAAAAATAGACCTCAGACCTTAAAACTGAACTTCCTTTGTAGTTTTGTTTGCTGAGGCAGAGATGTGCCTTACTCTGTACCCCTGAGGTGCTCAGAGAGGTTGGGAGATTTGTGTTTGGCTTCCCTGAGGACACCAAGGAGGAATTGCTCTGTCTGTGGGGTGTCAGCAACTCCACACGTGGGAGAAGGCATTTGTCACCCTGCAGATGTCATTAAAGTGAGAGACATACTGGAGATATTTTGCTGCCAGGGATAAAATCTCTATCCTTCTCCTTTTCTCTGGGTTTTGGGCAAAGGGCCCCATTTCTGAGTGTGGAAATCTCTCATTTCTGTGTCCCAGTTGGGGCCCTGAGACTGGCAGATCTGCCATGGTTTTCCTGCCTCATTCTGTTTCACTTGGGCTGTGAATTTTCTACTTCCCTGATCCTAAATTAGGGTGTATGTCTCAATATCCTGCAGCATTTCTGCTGCTCTGTAGCAAGGCTTGCTTCTTAAATTCAGCACCAGGCACCAAGAGAATCCAGAGGATGCTCTGGAAAAGAGAATGAATAAGATGATTTTGAAAAGTTAGAGGAAACACAGGTATAGAGGTGAGATTTAAATCCATGAGGTTTCCACTTTAGCATTTACATCCCAAGGTCTGCCTTGTTCTGTATTCCTTTATTTTTATCTATGACACACCTGAATATTTTTCTTCTTCCTGTAAATGACCTGAGCAGTAGAAAGACACCAATTATCTCTTTCAGGTGCTCCTAAATATTGAAATATTAGAAATATTTGCTGTCCCAGTCAGTGTGGGCAGATCAATAGGAGCCCAGTCCTTCCCAGCCGTGTTTGGGAGAGCAAAGTCTGTGCTGAGGATTGCAGGGACAGGAACCCAGCTCCTGCAGCTCTGCAAACAAATTTCTGCACACAGGGCAGCCCTCAGGCTGGCAGGAGCTCAGAGTCTCAAAAACAAACCCAAAATGCCAGTGGGGAGGCAGGTAAAGGGGAGAGCCCATGGTTTTCCTTTGGGAAAAGAGCAGGGAAAGCCTGTGCAGGAGGAGCTGGCTGCGGATCTGTGGTGGAGGGTGATGCTGCAAAGGGCCTTTGTGGGAACTCTGTGCAGCTCTTGAGCTTCTGAAGAATGACCAGACATCACAAGACTGATAAGAAATCAGCCTTGGCTGGTCTCAGAGTGCTGGGTGTTTTCTTGGAGACCTCATGGGTACCACAGTGGAGAGGAAATTCAGCTGCTGGAAGGAATAAAACATTCCCTATAAAGGCAGAGGAGAATTATGCCTCCTTTTAGGGGATCATCAGGAACATGATGATGTTTTTAGGGGATCATCAGGAACATGATGATGTTTTTAGGGGATCATCAGGAACACCTTTCCCAGGGATGTCAGGCTGAGCCTCCCCCAGCAGCAGCAATCATGTGAATGGAGTTTAATGATAAAATCTAGTCCTGAGGAGTGAGCGAGGTGTTGAAGAGCCCTTTTCTCTGTAAATAAGCACAATCATCTTTTAACTCCCAGTAACCATTTCATCAATTATTTCTGCAGCAATGTTAACTCCCTGCCTTTGAGGTGCTTTTCATCCTGTCAGATTTTCCATGACCTCAGCGTGTGGTTTCCCAGCCTGGCTGAGCTGCTGGGCTCTAGAGGCACTGAATTAGCAGTGAGCTTTTGGTGCAAGCTCGTGTGATGATGAACTCAGATCCGTTTTCCAGCCCAGATGGCCAGTGATTACTTTGAAGCATCTTCCTCTGCTTTTCATTCACTTTTAAAGGGAGAAAAAGGAAAAAGATGGAAAATCTGAGCAACCAGAATGGCTTTAGAGGAGGTGCTGTTGGACAGGTGGCCACTTTCTTTGCTGGTTTTTCCTGTCAGCCCTGCTGTCAGTGGGGTCTAAACTCTCCCACACAAGCAGGGAACCTGTTCTGTTTATTCCAGTGGTTTTCCAGAAGCAACATATATGATAAAAGTCCATCAGTCCTGAATATTAGATGCGGTTTTCCTTTCCCCTCTCCCCTGTGGCTCCTGCCATCTCTGCTCCCTGCTTTCTGTGCTGTCCAAAACTCAGCATTCCTCAGGTTTTGTGTTCTCAGACTTCCCTGTCCTGTCCCATCCTCCAGCAAAGTTTGCTTTAAGATTCCCGTGGGGGATTTGTTTGTGTGGAACAGGGAAATGTCACCCTGGGGAGTGGCCCTTGTGTCCCCATTTCCCCAGGGAGCAATTCCCCCACCTTGGCACTGCTGTCCTGTCCCATCCCTCTGTTTGCAGTGGAGTTAATGTTTGTTAATGTTATTAACAAGGAGTTAATGTTTGCTGCCTCCAGCTCCAGGTCAGCTCTTCCCATCACTGGGAATTCCTCACTGCAAAGAATTCCCATCACTGGCACTCACCTCTGCAAAGGCAGGTGCCTGGGGGTGGGTTTTTTCCTTAATCCCATTTAGAGTTCCCAGCCAAGAGGGGCATCCAGCAAAGCAGTGCAGGTGGCTGTAATGCCAACTCTTTGTCCTTCACAGGCTACAGAAAGGTTTATTTTTAACCATTCCTTCACCAGATGGATGCAGTGCTGACTGGAGACACCTCTGTGCTCCCTAGCAGCAGCGATGGTTTTGGGGTGCAGCTGAGCAGGCAGAGCTTGTCAGTGAGCAGCCCTGGCCTGGAGCCTCTGCAGGGGCTGCCTTGGTTGCTTGGTGCTTTTTTGAGAGCTGTGTGCCCAGTTCTGGAAGAACCAGGGGTTTATTTCAGTGTTTGCTCGCAGCTGAGCAGATCTGGTGTTATTTTATATGTGTTATTTTATATATGTTATGTTCTATAAGTGCCCTGCTGTGGGCATTTACCTGGGCACCTCCACACCTGGGCGGGGAGCTGGAGAGGCTGGCACTCAGAGCAGGGGGACACAGGCAGTGCCAGCACCCCAAACAATCTCCTGGACGTGCAGGAAGTTCATTCCCTGGAGGAATCCCTTCATTTCCAGAGTGTCCTGACCAATGAATGAATCCTGGAGAACATTGTTCTTCGAGAAGAGACACTCTTTGAGCAGAGTGGGCTCAGAGGTGCACCCAGGAGTGGTGCAGCCCCTCAGATTTCTGCCTGTCTGGGTCTCCCATGGTTGGTTCCTCCCAGCCACATCCTTTATTTTTATCTATCACGTGCCTGGGTACTTTTCTTCTTCCTTTAACTGACCTGAGCAGTGAAAAGACACCAATTGTCTCTTTCAGGTGCTTCTTAATATTAAAATATTAGAAATACCTAATATTTTTCTTAATATTAAAATATTAGAAATACATATTTTTCTAAATATTAGAATATTAGAAATATTTGCTGTCCCAGTCGGTGTGGGCAGATCAGTAGGAGCCCAGTCCTTCCCAGCTGTGTTTGGGAGAGCAAATTCTGCGCTGAGGATCGCGGGGACAGGGGCCCCCATCCCGGTGTGTCCTGGCTCCCCTCACGCCTCCCCCAGCACACTCTGTCCAGCAACTTTCCATTACAGGAAACATCTGCTGGGAGGCAGGGCTGGGTTACTGCAGGGCATTGGCCGCCAGAATTCCCCAGCTCCAGGAACTCCAAGCGTGCGCCAGTCATTTTGGGATCTTCCCCTTCCATGAGAAACACCGAGAGCAGAGAGGGACTGCAGGGCAGAGCCCGGGGTGGGCACTGAGGAGTCAGAATCGCCGCTTTTCTGCTCCCCAAGAGGGGGAGAAGCCGAGCTCGGAGCTGTTTGCCTTCCCGGCGGGTCCTGGAAGCCGCGTGAGTCGCAGCGGGGCCGGAGCCGCTCGGGGCTGGGTCCGGCTCTGCTGGGGGGACACACCTGCACACACCTGCCCTGCTCCTGCAGGGGATGCCCACAGCCAGGAGCTGCTGAGGCTGCAGCAGGACAGCACAGAGGGTGCCTGCCAGCACCATCACCCCCATGAGCCTCTTTGGGAAAAGTCCTCTGGAGGGTAAATCCTCGCTCAGATCCTCCGGGGCTGCCTCAGACGAGCTGGATGTGGGCAGGAAAGCAGGGGAAGGCACCTAAACTCCTGCCAGGCTGCTGCACCTCTTTGGCCACAAACAAGGAGCAGGAAAAGCAGAGTTTGAGTGGACACGGGGAGCTGTGCCAGTGCTGAGGGGAGGAGATGGATTCCCTGCTGGAGTGCGGCTCCCTCTGGGATCTGCTCCTGGATCAAGAGCTGCCGTGGCTGCGGTGGGACCTGGAGGGACTTGTGGACTTCTCTCGAGGAAATGCCAGCCCTGGATCTGATGAAATCCCCGCTGTGAGTGTCTGAACAGAGCTGTTTGCACCCTGGCAGAGCTGCTGGGGCTGAGCAGAGCCTCTGCTAGGACAGGTCTTGGTTCCTGCTGAGCAGGGCTGCACTGAGCCCAAAGCTCAGCCCTGCAGGGGTTATAATCCCCTTTCCCCATCCGGGCTGCTTGTTCCTGGAAATCTTGGCCTTGGGCTCTTGCTGGAGCCCATTTCAGTCCAAGATCTTTTCCAGATGTTCAGGCTGGGAGTTTGGTAAGTTAAATTGATATTTCTGTCATCTGCTGGTTGGCAGGTTTTACTCGGAGTGAGATCCCTTCCTCTGGGCCCACGGGGCTGGAGCAAGGCTCGGAAGTGCCGAGCTGACGTTGGAATATTCTGTTTCCAGTCCACTGAGTCGCTGTGAGGAGCAGGGAATGCTCTTGGGGGCGAGGGGTTGTCTGTGATTTGACAACCAACATCAAATCTGCCGCCATCTGACAGCATTTGGCAGCGCTGTGAGGCTAATTCTAAATAAACTCAGCATTCCTCCCACCCCTGTGACTCCACCACCAACCATTGTGAAGCAGAAACTGCCTTCTCTAATCTCAGATTTTTGGGGCCCTTGCTGGAAGACTCCCAGCGTTCTGCCCTGGGAGATCAGTGCCTCTGGAGGAGGATTGTTGGGTAAAGAGAATAGGTTGTACCCCAGGTGCCTTCTTCTCCCCATTTGTGGGAGAAGGAACATTGCAGATTCTCTGGGAGATGTGAATTTGTGGCTGCCTCTGTTCTGCAGGTGGTGTGGCTGTCAGGAGCAGCTGGCACGGGGTGTAGGAGGTGTGGACAGTCACATCATGAACCCCAGAGAGGAGCCAGATCTCCCTCCAGCCAACAGCCCCGTGTTCTCTGAGCCCTTTCCCGAGGCCAGGACACAAAACGAGTGCAGGACACTGTTCAGTCCCTGGGAGAGCATTTTTGGAGCCCCACTGAAGTGTTCTGACCCTGAGAGAACACGGGGCTGTGTTTGCCTGGTGGGGAGAGGGGTGGGAATGGGGAATCCTGAGCTCTGGGTGACAGTGGGTGCTCAAGCTCCTCTGGCAGGGCCAAATCCCCCATTTTCTGGGGTGAATCACCCCTTTTCTGTGGTAACCCATTTTCTGGGCTGAATCACTCCTTTTCTGTGGTGAATCACCCATTTTCTGGGGTATCCCCCCTTTTCTGGGGTGAACCCCCTGTTTTCTTTGGTAACCCATTTTCTGTGCTGAATCACCCCTTTTCTGGGGTTAATCACCCCTTTTCTGGAGTAAATCACCTCTTTTCTGGGGCAAATCCCCCATTTTCTATGCTGAATCACCCCATTTCTGGGGTAAATCCCCCCTTTTCTGGGATGAACCCCCTGTTTTCTGGGCTAGCTGTGCCGTTCCTGGGGTTGGCAGGTGTCTGATGCCAGCAGAGCACACCTTGCCTCTCGTCAGTGTAGGGCTGCAGGCAGAGAGAATTCCTCTGCTTCTGCAGGCAGGGCTGCAGCCTTTCTAGCCTGGACTTGCTCTTCCAAGTCAGGTTCTCCTCTTCCTCTCCTGCCTGCACTAAACCCAAACCATCCCATGGCTGGGCTGTGATGGGAGCTCCTGGCTCTCTGTAAGTGCATCTGACCCCCTTCTCCTCCCGCACCCGAGGTGTTCCCGTCTCTCCCACGCCGTGCCCCAGCTCCCCTGGCTGCCCCTCTCCTCACCAGGCCCCTTCTGCCTGCAGGTGCTGAGCCCCACGTACAAGCAGCGGAACGAGGATTTCAGGAAACTCTTCAAGCAGCTCCCGGACACGGAGCGCCTCATCGTAGGTAAGGGCAGCTGCTGTGCTCTGGGCAGGAGAGCAGCACAGATCCATCCATGTTTTCATTCCTGACAGGAAAATTCATGCACAAACACCGGAGGGTTATGTCCAGAAAGGAGACAGAGGAGTGCTGGAGCTTTATTGGAATAAAGGGAGAGGCGTTTCCTGTGGGGTCACTCAGATTTTTGGAGGATGCAGCCTCCTTTTTATCCCAATTTGCCAGCCACATTTCCCTCTCTTCACCCATTTGCTGATATACCTGAGAGGTCCAGACTTCCCAAATCACCCAATACAGACCCCTTCTAATGTGTACCCCCCCCTTTTCTTTTTCTTGTGTCAATCAATGGAATTCCTCTGGAATTTTTTTTTCTTCCCATTGTTCCTTTCACCTTTCAGTATCCAGTTCTGTTCATCAGCAGACCCACAGTTTATAAAGACAAATCCCTCATTCCTGTCATCAATCAGTGGGATCCTTCCTGTTGTTTCTTTTATCTCTCAGTGCTCGTTTTGTCTCCCAGCAGACCCCACAGTTTGTAAAGTCCCTCCTTCCTTTCATTCTCCAGACACTGCCACTGACAACAAACCTGTTCTGTCTGCCTGGATTCCCAGACACAGACCCATTTCCAGTGGATTTTGCATTTTATGATGGGTTTTCCTCATTTGGTGGGGAATGATGTGATTTTTTCCTTCCCTTTTTCCTCCCTTTTCCCAACATCCCTGCTCACACATGACTGCCCTTCCCAAACCTTCCCTCACAGCTGCTCCTGTGTCTTCCATGGCTGGTGATCCCCTCCTGTGCCCCAGAAATCGTTTGGGACGCTTAAACTGGGGGTGAAATGCACAGTGACAGAAAGGAAAAGACAGATTAAATCTGGCAATAGCAGGTGGGATGCTGCAGAGTGGCAGGATCAGCAGTCAGGGGGAGAGATTGTCTGTGACATGCCCTTGCAGGAAACAGCAGCAGCTGGCCCTGGCCCTGCCCCTGCCTGGCTGTGTTGAGTGGTTTCTCTTGATGCTGCTGCTCATCCTCACCTTCCAGCTGTCCTGATGCCTTTTCTCAGGCTTACCTAGGAGCAGAGGCCAAAGTTAAAAGCATTTATTTATTAAGTGGATGTATTTAATGAAGGGCTTTCAGGTACATTAAGGGCAGACAAAGCCTCCCCAAGGGGCTGCACCCAAGCTGGACAATGGTCACAAGTTTTTCACACAATTACAAATTTGTTCCTTTTACATATCAGGGGTTAATTCTTTAGTTATAACATCAGATAATGAAGTCATACACTCCCAGTTTGCTCCTCCCCAGTTCACTTTTGTTTATACTTTTTGGGGCCTGGTGGGTGTCCTTGAGTTCCAGGCCCAGAGGAATTGTATGTGGAGTTTAGAGTTATCCACTAACTCAGCACAGGATTTAAAAAATAATAAATAAATAAAAATAAAACAGGCAAAAATCTTAAGGCATCAGTTGCATTTTGTGCTGCTTGTGCTCCTCACTGACCACGTGCTGTGCTCCCACAGATTACTCATGTGCTCTCCAGCGAGACATCCTCCTGCAGGGCCGCCTCTACCTCTCCGAGAACTGGATCTGCTTCTACAGCAACATCTTCCGCTGGGAGACACTGGTGAGGCTCTTCCTCTGCTGCCCTAAACCTGGCATCGTGCTCAGGCTTGCTTTGGAAGGGCTTTTCCTGCTGCCTCTCTCACCAGTTCCTCCCTTTCCTGGTGTTCTCCCCCCCTGCTGCAGCTGACAGTTCGCTTGAAGGACATCTGCTCCATGACCAAGGAGAAGACAGCACGGCTCATTCCCAACGCCATCCAAGTTTGCACTGACACTGAAAAGGTACCTCCACCTCCACCCCTGTGTGGCTGGGAGTGTGTGGGGGGTTTTTCCAAACTGGGAAAAGGGCTTGTGCTGAGCTGGGCTGAGGCTGGAGCTCGGATGTGGGGGCCAGGTGAAATATCCAGGTTTTCTGACTGTGTCAGTGCTCAGTCCCTGCTGAGAGCCACTGGCCTCTCCATGAGCTTCACTCTGTGCTGCATGGATGGCTCACTCCAGCTGGAAAGTGACCCCAAACAGCCTTGTTGTGTTCTTCTCCTATTTTCTGGCTTTTTCTGAACTGATTTTTCTCTCCCTCTCTCCCCATCCAGCACTTTTTTACTTCCTTTGGGGCTCGAGACAGGACGTACATGATGATGTTCAGACTCTGGCAGAATGCTCTGCTTGACAAGGTACAGAGAGAAACCCCAGGGCTGGGCTGGGATGGAAGGGTGGTGATGGATATGGGCAGGAACATCACTTCTGACTGAAAAAAACACCCAGGGACACCAAACACAAGTGTTTAGGGAGTAGGGACATTAAACACAAGTGTTTAGGCAGAGCAGGTTCATGACTGCAGATGCAATTCCCTCTTTTTGCAGAGAATTTTTTGCTGGGGTCAATCACCCATTTTCTGGGGTAAATCACCTGTTTTCTGGGGTAAATCCCCCATTTTCTGGGGTAAATCATGCACAGTAGGTGCCACTCTGCCTCTGTTGAGGAATCAAGGTCTCAGGAGGGAAGTTTTTTTTTTTGAAGTTTGCAATTCCACAGTGGAGCAGCCCTCAAGAAAGCAGTTCAAAAAGCAGCAGGAATAACTCACTGTGCAGGCAGAGCTCTCAGCAAATCTGTGCTCCAGAAGTGTGGGGTGTCCAGACAGGACAGAAAATGAGAGTTCAAGGCATCCCAAATCCAAGTGGGAGCAGCTGTGGGTGCAAAGTGCTCTGGCTGAGGGCTCAGTGGGGTTGGATTTTAAAATAAATCTGCTCCTGCCATGCCAGAGGCCCTGGAAATCCTGTATTTGATCCGAGTATCTGTTCCACAGTGGGGAGGGTATTTCTGGCCTCCCTGCTGCAGCAAACCTGATGTTACAGCACCTCGGGGTGGCCTGGCTGGAATTCAGAGCAGGCTGGAGGAATGAGGCAGCAGGAATAGCCTGTCCTCAAATCGGGGCAGGATTTAGGAGGAGAAAGGATCACCTTGCCTGGGGCAGGCTGTAACCTGAGCAGCCCTTTGGAAGCTCCCAAGGAAATTCAGTGCCCTTGGTCTCAAGGTCAAGGCTGAGACAGAGATAAACACAGGAAGCACTTCCAGAGCTCCTTTTTTTCCAAATGTGGGATCCCTGGCTGGCAGGAAAAGGGGGGAAGGAGCTGAGTGCAGTTTTCCTGATAAGACATGGATGTGAGTTAATGTGTGTGGGAAGGAGGAGGAACAGACAGATTTTTCTGGATGAAAATTCCTCATTTGAGGGTTTTTTTTTTCCCCCATGCTTTCAGTTCCTGCTGTGGGGAGCTAGATGAAAAAATTCCTGCCTTATTCCACACAGTGACTATGGGAAGAAATTCAAGCCAGCAACTCAGAAAAAGTTCACTGGATTTGTTTCCCCTCACTACCAAGAAATCTTTGTCATTGGTCATAAGTTTCTTATGGGTAAAAATCCCCTTTCATCCCTGTACCACATCTTTAAATCACAAGTTTTCCTGCCCCACTTTTCAGGGCCTCATGTCAGAATCATGTGGTGATCACTGACCCACATCCCTAAAATCTGGGCTTTTCTCAACGGTCTGGATAATTACTTTTCTCTTTTTCACTTTTTTCACTTTTCACAGGGGTGTCTGGTGACACAAACTCCTTTTGATCCCAAACTGCAGCAGGAAATGTGGCTTTTTTTTTTCTTCATTGCTGTTTTAGATCATTTTCCCTGCAGCTGGGATTCTTCAGGCAGCTTTAATTTAAACAAAGCTGAAGGGAGGGGACAAAAAAAAACCTCATAAGGTTTTGGGGTTGGTGGAGCAGCAGATTTTAAATGGAGGCACAGCAGAAGAGGTGGGAAAAGTATCTGTGGAGGGAAATGCAGGTTTAGGGCTTCCATTAGTGCATTCCAGCAGTGGGAAATCTCATCCATGTGCTGCTCTGGCTGTAGCTTGCTGATATTTTTGTAAGTAACAGGAGGTTGTGGCATGGAAAAATCAAAATGACAGATTTTGGGGCAGAACCTGGGCTGCTGGTGGAGGATTATTGGTGACAGGACATGTTTGTGCTCAATGGGGGCATCATCTCTAGGCCAGAGATTATTTATTATTATTATTATTATTATTATTATTATTATTATTATTATTATTATTATTATTACTATCACTATCATTATCATTATCATTATCATTAATTTATTTTTATTATTGACACTAATCTTAATATAATTAATAATATTATTACATTATTAAATATTTATTGTATAATATTTATATTATTAATAATAGTTATTAATATTATTAATATTAATATAAAGATGCATATGATGACATGTTTATTCTATAATAAAGATAATATATCTTCATAGAATTTATATGTTTATATTTTATATATGAATACATACAATATATATCTTCTATATACATTTATAACTTATTTAAATATGTATTTAAATATATTTTTATATATATTTTATATTTTTAAATATATATGATTATTATATATAAAATATATTATATAATTTTTATATATTATATATTATGCATATACATACAATATATATTAATATATAAATATATCTGTTATATAGAATATATATCTATAAATATGTTTAATATTTAATTTATAGATGTATGAATATATATATATCTAGAAAAAAATATGTAATTTCAGATAAATAATGATAAACTCCATAAAATGGAATTTCACAGAGCTGAGCCCACGGAAGGGCTCTCACCTCAAGGATCAGAATCTCTCACTTCTCCTTTCAGGGCAAGGAACACCCTTTAGCAATGGTAATTTCGCTGTATTTTGGTATTCTTGGCTGTAAACTTGTGATGTTGTGTGTCCCCTGCTGCAGCCTCTGTGCCCAAAGGAGCTCTGGCACTTTGTCCACCAGTGCTACGGGAACGAGCTGGGGCTCACCAGTGATGATGAAGACTACGTGCCTCCTGATGATGACTTCAACACCATGGGGTGAGTGGGGAGGGCTGAGCTGTGCCTGGAGGGAGCTGCAGGATGAGCTGAGCCCCTCCGAGTGCTGCTTGTCCTCACACATCCTGGCATCCGGCTGCTCTGGAGCGTGTGGGGCCTAAAGAGCTGGAAGGGGAGCGTTTCCTCATGGAAGCTGGGAGGGACTGAAATGCCTGCTGAGCCAGCTGAGCAGTTCTAGAAATGCCAAAGTCACGGGGCCAGGCAGAGCTGCGTGGCCAGAAAGTGCTGATGCTTGTCAGTCCTTGTGTAAACACCCAGAAAACTGGGGCTTGCTTTCTCCTGCACTGAGCTTCTGGACAGCCTGGAAACTTCATAGAAACATTCTCACTTGCTCTGTGTGTCCAGCTGTAGCTGTTGTGAGAGGGGTAACCATAAAAACCTGTGTTCTCTGTGGCGTCCCAGCTACTGCGAAGAAATCCCCGTGGAGGAGAATGAAGTCAACGACAGCTCCTCCAAGAGCAGCATGGAGGCCAAGCCAGAAGCCAGCCCTCAGCTGCCAAAGAAATCTGTCACTGCCAGCACCCTGACCTCCACAGGCAGCAGTGAAGCCCCAGCCTCGGTGAGTTTTCTCCCTCCCCTGGCAGCAGGAATTTGTTTTCCCTGAAATCCAGCAGCGGATGGTGGGAGGTTTGTTCATCCTCCAGCTCCTCTTCCACTGCTGCTGATTTCAGTCCTTTTGTCACTGGGACTCTCAGCAGCAAGAACATTTTCCTTTCTATACTTCTGGGTGAAAAGTCTTGGACATAAAAGGGTTATGATTTCTTCTCTGCCTTCAGTTATTCCCTGGAATATTCCCAGTGGTTATTCCTGGAATATTCCACTGGTTATTCCCACTGTGTACCCTCCTGGAGTTATGGCAGAGCAGACCTCATTTAGATGTTTCCTCTGGTTGTTTTAGCCTGTTCAGGAGCAAAAGCAGGGTTGGACAATATTGTGATTGTCTGAGAAAAAACCCTGGTGGTGTCCAAAGCTTGAACACTGATTTTTTTGAGGGGATGTTTTACAAACACTGTGTGGCAATTGTCCTCCTCTCTCTCTTTAATTTCCAGATATGTCAAGGCCAAATATTCAGAAATTGGCTCACAGATGTGTGGTTTTTTTGCAATAAAGCCCATTTCCAGGTGCTGATCTTGCCCTTGTTGTGCCCTGTCCTTGCTGCAGTTCGATGGAGTGCTCCCAGAAGAGGAGGAGGCAGTGGCAGAGAGTCCTGTGGAGAAAGACCTTGGCATTGCCAACATCATGGGAGAGAAGATCGACATCATTGGCCCTGTCAACTCCCCCTCCCTGGACTTCAATGACAACGAAGACATTCCCACTGAGCTCAGTGACTCCTCAGACACCCACGATGAAGGTACCTGGGGAATTCCATCAGGGCCATTTCCAGCCTTATCCCATCCCTCCCTGGGAGGGAACGGAGTGGTCACTTCTGAAATCCTTTTCTGCACCCTGAAGATGCAAATAATTCCCACTGTGGGCTGCAGAAAGTGAATGTGCTTAAATTTTAGGATGTGCCTAAAAGTTATAGGATTGATGCCTGGGGAAGGCTGAGCTAGGGCAGAGGCTGGACGGATTTCAGGATAAAGCAGGGATTTATTGAAAGGCCCTAAAGGACACACCTTGGGCTCTACAAGAGCCTGGCCAGGGCTGCACCCAAGATGGACCAAAAATGGTCACAAAATGGATGATTGGTCACGAGATCTCACATTTTTATAAGCTTTGGTCCATCTGCATATTGGGGTGAATTGTCCAGTCCCAGCTGCAGGTTATGGAGTCCCATCCTTGTTTTCTCTCTCCAGCCCAGCGCTGTTCCTGCTTTTGGGCCTGGAACTCATAACAATTGTCCTTGGTATCAAGCTGGAAAAGGAATTGTTTTGTCTGCCCACTCTGTGAAGAGAGCTCACTGACACTTCATGTGAGGCTCAGAGCTGCACACTGGGCTGGGCAGAATCTGAGAAATATGAAAGCTAAAACTTAAGGCATCATTATGTCCCTAAAATAAGCTGTGTAATTAATTATCCCTTCTGATGTCCCAACTCGTGCCCTGGGACCAGTGCAGGAAAAGGGTTGAAGTCCCTCCTGTAGGTTCCTTTGGAAATACTGAGGTCCTGGTGCTGTGGAAGCACATTTTTCACCCTCCTGGAGGGTCGTGGCTGGACCTTGAGGGTCTCTTTCCCCACAGGGGAAGTCCAAGCGTTTTACGAGGACCTGAACGGCCGCCAGTACGTGAACGAGGTGTTCAACTTCAGCGTGGACAAGCTCTACGACCTGCTCTTCACTGATTCCCAGTTCCAGAGGGACTTCATGGAGCAGCGCCGCTTCTCTGGTGAGCTGCTGCTGCTGGGGCTGCCACAGGGGCTGTGGAGGTGGAATTTGTTCTGCTCAGGTGACATTCTGAGCACATTTTGGGACAGCGTGGCCTGTGCTGGCGGTAACCAAAAGCAGGCAGGAGCTGTGTGCCCATCTGGTTTCATTTTCTAACAGCTGGAACAGCTTTTTTAATGGAAAAAGTCAATTTTCTTATTTTTTATCATCACCTAAGGCCTGATCCTCTGTTCAGGGCTGAACAGTGTGAGGGAAAAGCTCTTCCAGCTCCACACCTGAAATGGCACGGACAGAGCTGCAGAGAGTACCCCTTGGCATGTCAGTCTTCCTTTCCCTCTAACTGTAGATTTGCTGGAGGAGATGAATCCCCAGCTTCTCCCCCTTTCCCTTCACTTGAAAAAGGGGAAAATATTCACATTTGGCACAGGAGCCCTTAGTTTCACACTGAGCTCTAGAGCAGCCAGGCTCCCCAGAGGGAAGGAAATCCCATCCCCAGCTTGGTTATGTGATTATCCCTTTCCCCAGGGGACTGACCAGAGATCCCTCCCCAGTTACTTGACTGGAATGTTGTTTTGTCCTCTCAGATATTATCTTTCACCCCTGGAAGAAGGAAGAAAATGGCAATCAGACCAGAGTGATCCTGTACACCATCACCCTCACCAACCCTCTGGCCCCCAAAACTGCCACAGTCACTGAAACTCAGGTAAGGGACAGTGGAGCAGGGCTGGGGTGCTTGCAGAAACTGCTCTGAGAGTTATTTTCTTGTCCTGAGAGTGTTTTCATTGTCCCTGTCCATTTTTCTGTTCACTTTTCCTTGATTTACCTTGCTGCCCAGTACCACTGCAGCCATGAATAGTTAATCTTACACTTGCAATGGAAGCACCACAAATTCCCCAGCAGAAGCAGCTGAGTTTGTGAGCAAGGCAGCACTTCTTAACAATTGTTTTTCTGGCCCAAAATGGTGTTTTTTGAGCTGTGCTCAGCCCAGCAGATACTACTCAAGGAAGTCAGGTACTGCCAGTCCTCCTCACAGCTCTGCAGGGTGTTGTGGATTTTTTACTGTGCTGAGGACAGTGAGAGGATCTGTTTAGAAAGGCAAAAAAGGGAAAATCTGCAGTGCACTGGGAGGAGCCAGGCTGGCTGTATCCAGCAGAACCTGCAGCTGGAGAGGGAGGAAAAGCCTCTTTCCACGTCCAGAGATGTGGCCGAGGGGAAATACTGAGAGTGAGCTTTAGGGATTGCTAGGAGGGAGCCAGGAAAAGGGCTCTGAGCACCCCATTTCAGAGAGGAGGATGCCAGCAGCAAGGTGGGACTTGTGAGGGTGTGAGGAAAGGTGCTGGAGAGAAGGAAAGGTGCAGGGAACAGAAAGGAAAAGGGAGAGCAAAGGGAGCAGCACACTCTCTTTGTCTGTCTGTCTGTCCTCTGGGTGGGGTTTGCTCTGGAGCAAAGGGAAAAGCACATCAGCAGCTCTTAAAAGAATAAAGTGATGTTTATTCTGTTTAGAATCACAGAATAATTTATGTTAGAAGATCTATTAGCTAGAATTTACTCTAAAACCTCTGATTTTAGCTCAGGTGGGTCCCTGACAAGCCAGACCCCAGAAGAGAGGTCCCACTTGGGAAGGTCTCCCCACGTGGTGTGTAACACCTCTGACACAAAATCCTGGAGGCTGGAACTGATTGCCCTTTTAAAACAGAAGCATCTGGGTGAAACCCTTGCTTTCCTCTGCCTTCCCTTCGGGGTGAGCTGCTCACAGCAGAGCTGCAGGGGCAGGGCTGGGCCACGGGGGTGTCTCCTGTTCACAAAGCACTGCTGAAGGTACCACTTGTGTCCTAGCCACGCTCAGAGTTGCCTTGCACGCTGTTTTTCCTGCAGACAATGTACAAAGCCAGCCAGGAGAGCGAGTGCTATGTCATAGATGCAGAGGTGCTAACCCACGACGTCCCCTACCACGATTATTTCTACACCATTAACCGCTACACGTTGACTCGTGTGGCCAGGAACAAAAGCCGACTCAGGTACCTCTCCTGGGGAGTTCCTGATGAGCAAAAGGCACCTTGGGGAGGGAGTTTTGCTGTTTGGGTGTGTTAGGAGGGGTTGAAGGGGTTGTTTCTTTGTCCTGTTGCTGGGATATTGCTGTCAGGAGGAGTAGGGGCAGGATTTTCACCTGCTGGGTTGGCATCAATGCAGAGCTGCATCAGGGAGAGGATTTACAGATTTTTCGTGCCTCTCTCTTGGATGCTGGGGTTTGCAGAGCCTGTTATCACTGCAGGCTGTGATAAGCAACAGGATAAACTTCCTGGGGCTGTGCTTGGGGGCAGAAGCAGAGGAATTGGGTACTGGGCAAAGCTATATCTGTGTGACTTTAATAATGATAATCCAAATGGTCGTGGAGTTCTGTTGGGAGAGGCCCTTCCTGCCTTTGCAAGGACTTTTCCAGCAGTGCTTCTCCTCTGGACACATCAAGGGCTGAGACCATTCCAGAAATAACAGTGGACATGATTATTTCCTGGGTTTACACTGACAAAAACTGTGAATTGACATCACCCCCAGGAAGCAAACCCAGGGGAATGACTGACCTTTTCCTCCTCACAGGGTTTCCACGGAATTACGCTACAGAAAACAGCCTTGGGGGCTGGTGAAATCCTTCATTGAGAAGAATTTTTGGAGTGGCCTGGAAGATTATTTCCGTCATTTGGGTAAGAGTGGCAGTGACAGTGGCACTCGTGCTTCCCTGGGAGTGGGCAGCAGGATCCAGCCTTCCGGTGGCTCATAAAAGGGCTACCACAGCCAGAATACCTGCTGGAATTAATCAGGGCATCAGATCCTGCTCCCTGCCAGGCAGTTTAAGGTCAAATTTTAATAAAAATTGCGAGTAATGTGGAGCACAAATCTCTCAAACTCTGCCAGCCTCTTTGGCCCGGCTGATGCCTTTCTGGGCTATGTAAAAACAGAGGCCAGACAAAATTAAGGGAATAAAAAGCAGTTCTATTTATTGAAGGCCTTCAGGTGCATTTAGGGCAGACAAAGCCCCCCAGGGGCTGCACCCAAAATGGACCATGGCTCACAGGTTTCACACTTTTATCAGTTTGTTCCATTTGCACATTGGGGGTTCATCTCCCAATTCCAGCTGCAGGGAATGAAGGAATTTCCCCCAAGTTTGCTGCCCCCAACTCCCTTTTGTTTCCATCTCTGGGGGCCTGAGGCAGTGAGGTGTCCTTGATTGCCAGGCCTGGAGAGGAATTGTTGTGTGTGCCCAAAGTGGGGAAGCAGCAGCTCCCAGTGTGTGTGGAGTTTGGAGTCACACACTGAGGAATGGCAGGATTACAAATGTGTGAGAAACAGAAAAGCTGAAATCCTATCAGCATCACAGCAGAGGGGTTAAACCTCTCCCCCTCTTCAAAACCCCACCTCTTAACGCTCCCCCTTGGTGCTGCAGAGAGCGAGCTGACCAAAACAGAGAGCACATACCTGGCTGAGGTGCACAGACAATCCCCCAAAGAGAAGGTGAGCAAGCAATCCACGGTGCGCCGGCGGAAACGCGCCCACGCCCACCTGCGGGTGCCACACCTGGAGGAGGTGCTCAGCCCCGTCACCACCCCCACGGATGAGGAGGTTGCCCATCGAATCAAGCACGTGGCAGGTGAGCAGCTGCAAACCCCACAGCCTTGAGGGGACAAACAGGGGCTTTGTCACAGAGGGGCTGTGATGTGCTGGGGGTGTTTGGGTGAGGTGGAGGTGGGGGGAAAGGATTGGGGCTTGCCTTGCCCTGTTTCCCATCCCAAATTCTCCCCATCTCCTCAGGTTCCACTCAGACACGGCACATCCCTGAGGAGAGCCCCAGTGGCTTCCACCTGCAGAGTGTCTCCAAGCTGCTCCTTGTCATCAGCTTTGTGTAAGTGATGACTTTTTCTGCTTTCCTCCCAGTCAGCATTGAACACCTTTGGTTTATCTGTGTTCCTGCAGTTCTGTGCGCCCTTCTCTCCTCTCCCCGTGGTTTTGCCCTTGTTTTAGCCAAACATGGGCTTTGCAGATCTGTTCTGGGAGTCCTAAAGGCAGGTCTGGGACCTGTCTGGGACTCAGGGATGCAGTTTACAGATTTTTAGTGACACACAGAAAAACTGTGTGTGTGTTTGGGGGGTGTAATTTAAAGCAGGTGATTTAACTGCTGACACACGAGCTGCTATCATGGACAGTGACTGTGCAAAGCTCTCTGGGCTACCACAGCAAGGCTTAGTGTCTGTGAGGATTCTGTCACATCTTCCCTCTGGTCTTGAAAGACCTTTCCATGTCAGGTCCTGGGCAGTGATTTTGATGAGAGGTACAGCCAGAAAGCAGCTGGACCCTTCAGAGATGATTTCTGCACAATCAGTAAAGAAAACACCTGAGGCACAAGAGATTGATGTGATTTCAGCAGCACAAACTGTTTGGTTTGGGGTTCTTTCCTGCCACACCTTTCAGGATTGGTGGGCTTGGGCTGGGATGTGCTCTCCAAGTGAGCTGGGAATGAGCCTCTCATGTCCCTGTGGCTCATTTTAATACCTGAACTCACTGTTTTTACTGTTCCTCTGCCCTTGGGCCGACAGCAGGCTTCATTTAGTGCTGGGCTGGTACTGTGGAGCAGAACAGACTAAAACAGTGATCCAGGCTTTTCTGACTTGGGCCCAGCTTTTCCTTAAGCTGCACCTGGCTGTTATAGAGGTGGGGAGGAGCTGGGGTTTCAGGACTGAAATTACAGCTCCAGCTCAGCTCCTTTTGTGTTTCCTGGTGCCAGAGGGGGCACAGAAGCAGAGGTTTGCAGCAGCACCCAGCCAGTGACAAATGAGGTGCAGTAAGGTACTGTCATGATGAGAACGCAGCACAAAGGTACCAAAGCTTTGTTTCAAGGTCTCCTGAGAGCTTCACTTGGGTCACAGAACCCTCTGTGATGTTTCCAGATTATTCCTCTGGCTAGTTGCCATCCGCCTGACTGAACTGGCCATAGTGGGCCATTCTTCCAGCCAAATAACTGCACTATTCAGAGCCAGGCACCAGCCTGGTGTTTTGGAATCTCTTCCTGGGGAGGAGCAGAAATGCCTCTGTGTGGTGAGGGGGGAGAGTGATGCCTGGGGAGGCTCCTGGAGCAGGGGCTGGCCAGAGTTAAAGGAATAAAGCAGGGATTTATTAAAAGCCCTTCCAAGGATCACCTTGGCCACTGCAAGAGCCCGGCCCTGGCTCCACCCAAGATGGGCCCCGGCTCAGGAGTTTCACACTTGGATCAGTTCTGGTCCATTTCCATCTCGGGGTGAATTGTGCAATTGCAGCTGCAGGTGATGCAGTCCCATCCTCCCAGATTGCTCTCCTCAATTCCCTGCTGCTTGTGCTTTTTGGGGCTGGAGCTGCAGCGCTGCCCTTGGCTGTGGGGCTGGGGAAGGATTGTTGTGTGTGCCTGAGCTGTGAGGAGAACTGGCTGACACTTTGTGTGGAGTTCAGAGTTAGCTACCAGTGCAGAGCCTGGAAAATGTGAAAGCTAAAAATGAAGGCATCAAGAGGAGCTGGTCAGGGCATGGCTGGGGTGTGTTCCCAGTGCCAGGGGTGGGAATGGGGAAGGCTGGATGTGAACTCTGTGTGTGTGTGTGTGTGTCAGACAGTGCCTGCATGGCCACCTGCTGTCCCCAGGAGCTCAGCTGTGCTGAGGGAACTTCACCAGCAGTGCAGGCACACGGATCCCTGTCTGTCCTTCCTTTCTCTCTTCCCTCTGCTCCTTTCTTCCTGTCCCCTGTACCTTCTGCAGTGTCTGAGCCTCCTCCTCTCAGCCCAGTTTGTGTCAGTCCGTTTCTAACCTGCAGCTACTCCGTCTTTTCTCTTCCCTGCTCCCATTAGGATCTGTTTCAGGTACTGTCTCTCTCTTTTTTTACCTCTTTACTCTCCCATTTCCCTCCCTTTCTCTGCATTCAGCGCATCCACTCACCCAGCCTGTTCTGTCTGAGCTGTCACCCCTGTCTGTCTGTCTGTCTGTCTGTCTGTCTCTGTCCTCCTGGCTCACACATTTCTTCCACAAGGTGAAGTTTTGGTTGCTCACTCCGGTTAAATCCCCACTCACAGCATGGACTGGGCCTCAGACACCTTCCTGAAGGCCTGGCTGTTGTCCCAGGTGTTCCTGGCGAGCAGTGGGCTGTGAAATGCTCCTACACTGGCTCTTTTCCTTCTTCCTTTGCAGTCTGGTGCTGCTGGTCATTCTCAACATGATGCTGTTCTACAAGCTCTGGATGCTGGAGTACACCACGCAGACGCTCACGGCGTGGCAGGGCCTGAGGCTGCAGGAGAGGTACAGCCACACCTGCCAGGGCTCTCCTCTTTTATCCTGGATGTCAGAGGCTTTCCCATCACACCAGAGCTCTGGGCTCTCACTTTGCTGTAAAAGAGGTGGAGTTGAGGGGCTCTGTGCATTTCCCCTGCAGCTGCAGAGTTAAGGCTGCAGAGGATGCTCTGTGAATAAATAAATGTTCAGCGATTTTGGGCTGAGGTGGTCCCTTCCCCTCCTTGGATGGCCAAACTTCCCTCTGTATGGGAACAGCCCCTTAGAATGATCCCTTTGTACTCACAGGAGGATTTGGGCTGTTAGGTTTGTGTTTTGAAAGGTGTGGGTCCGGATATCAGCAGCATGTCCTGAATGGTCTCTGGTCTATTTTTAGAGGCTGAAAACATCCTTCATCCACTTTTCTGAGGTGTTTTTGTCCCCTTTGTGTCTCCTTTTTGAGTCCCAGTTGCTCCCTTGCTGCCCTGGGTTTAACTTCAAGCACTCATAGCCATGTGCTACCACTGTATTAGAGTTTTTTTGCTCTATTTGTGTCATTTCTCCTCATTAGGAAAGGGAATTACCTTCCCTGTACCAGCCCTGCTGCTTCCCCATGGATAGATACTTTAAATGATTATAAATACTTCAGGTGATTTTATCTTTCTCTGGTGCTTATTTAGATTACTACAATAACATTTAAGTACAGAACTTACATCCTGTTTGCACAGTGTGATGTGCAAGCTCTGGAATTATGTGGGTGGCTCCACATGGGTAATTTTTATGTTGCAGCCACAGGTGCTGTGGAAGCACCTGAATTCATCCAAGCTCCCATCTGTCCTGATCCCACTCCCCTCACTTCTGTTTTGGGGGTTTAAATGGGGCTGAAGGGAAAGGCTTGGAAAAAAGAGCCAGTGCAGCTGTTCCTCACAATAAAGAGAGGTCTCTGTACAAAGGATGGGGTTTTTTGACTCTTGCCTGTGTTTTTCTGGCAGGTTACCCCAGTCTCAGACAGAATGGGCCCAGTTGCTGGAGTCCCAGCAGAAGTACCACGACTCAGAGCTGCAGAAATGGCGCGAGATCATCAAATCCTCGGTGATGCTTCTGGACCAGGTGAGCCTGCACAGCTCCAGGCAGGGCTGTGACCAGGGTGTCACTGTCCTGCTCCCCATCCTTCAGCATCTCCTGCCTCCACCTCAGCACTTTAGATCATCCCCTGCTGGTGGTGGCACCACAAGGGCTGTCACAGGGTGCCTCTGGCGCTCTCTGCCATCAGAGGGGTCCAGGCACACCAAGGAGAGAACCCTACAGGGCTAAAAATCTTATATTGGCACGTTTGGTATCTAATCTCTGTCATGCCAGCTTGGGGAGCAAACTGGTTTTGGCTGAACCCTGGATTTGCTGCAGCTTTCAGGGAGGAGGGGGACACGCTCTCGTAGCACAAAGCCAGGAATTTCAGGGTGTGCTCCCTAAAAAGCACAAAAGAGCTGCTGAGAGCACAGCCCAGAAATGAGAGCTGCATCCCCATAAGTCCCTAAATGTGAACTCCCTAAGGAGAGAGAACTCCCTGTGCTCTGCTCACCCCTTTTCCTTGGTGCCCCACATTCCCATTCGCACATCCCAGCCCTGACTCCCAAAACCACAACGATGCCATCAATATTTCACAGGGAAACAGGAAACCCCCAAGTTCTCCCCTCTAGGGTGGCACCACAGTGGAGAAATCTCTTTGTCTTTCAGATGAAGGATTCACTAATAAATCTCCAGAATGGCATCGGCTCCCGGGACTTTGGGTCAGATCCAGAGGAGAAACGGAAACGTTTCCATTAACAGGCAGGAATGCAGGAGGCCAGAGGACGGTGTGCAATATGTGTAAATAGGATATATAAATATATATATAAATATATATATATATATATACAGATATAAATATATATATTATATACAGATTTTAAGAGAAAAAAAAAAAGAAAAAAAAAAAGAAAAAAAGCCTAAAGAGGGGAAGGAGTGACCTCCAACACTGGCTGAACTGGAGCGTCCCTGGGAGCGTGGGGGTGTGTGTGGGAGGGCTGTGCTCTCCCAGCACTGAGGTGTGCTTAGGGCCGTGCCCAGCTCTGCTCCCTGGGCCCCTGCACGGCTCCTCTGTAATATTCCTGTCTGTCTGTCTGTCTGTCTGTTCTGTTTTTGTTGTCTCAAAGGGAAGCATCGGTGTGAGTGCCCCCCCTGCCCGTCCCCGTGCCCTCCCTGCGCATGGAGGTCCCTGGGTGGCTCTGTTTATCTCTCAAAGGGGACACTGTCACCTCCCTTACCTTGCTGGCTTCAGGGGGTTTTGGCAATCGCAGTCAGTCCCTTGCAGAACCGCTCTGGAGAGGAGGGGGAGTTGCTGTGGGTCTGTGGAGGGCAGATCCCCCTGGCAGGCCCCTCCTGGGAGCAGAAATTTGCTGTCAGGGCGGCCAGGCTGGCTCAGAGAGCAAAGCACAGAGCGTGACCGAGCTGCAATCCCTCCCACAAACCCCGATTTGCTGCCCCCTGTCCTGGCTGCTGCAGTGAGAGCGAGGGGAGTGTGTGGGAGGGGGGGAGCCACACCTGTGACAGTGTCCCCTTTACCTGTTCTCTGCTTTCCCTGTGCTTGGGCCCCTGCCCCTGAGCCATCCCTGCGGGTCTGCATCGCTGCTGGAGTCACCGCGGTGGGAGGACCCAAATTTAAACAGAGAACCAAAATTAGGGTTGATTTGCAGCCACTCCCACTACCCAGCTCAGCAAATCTCTTCTCCTGTTTGTTCACCCAGGCCTTGTCTTGTAAAATCTGTGGGAAAATGGGAGAGAAACAGCAGCTTCCTTTCCTTGCCTGGGGTAGATTTACATAATTGGATCTATGCAGCAGCAGCCATCACTGTGGTTATTTACATGACTGCATCTCTAGAGCAACCAGGCTTCCAAAAATCCAATAGAGGTCAGGAAGGGTCACAGGGACCAAGGGAGGAAAGGGAGAAGAGCCCTTCAGAGGGTGGCAGGACAGAGCTGGGTGTCAGGCACCTGAGGGGTGTCTCCCACCAGCTGGGTTCAGTGCAGCCAGGTGGCAGAGCTGCACTAAAAACAAAGCCAGTGTGCATTTTCAGTTCTTCTGGGGGATGATTCCAGGCTCCATTAGCAGCCAGATGAGGAAGAGGGGCGGCTTGGCTGTGCTGTGCAATGCACAAACCCCGCAGGGACTGCTGGGGATGCAGGCTGCTTCTTGAAATGTTTGATAAATGCTTTGGCCTCTTCCCCAGCCAGGTAGATGAGGGGAGTGTGGGTCCCACTTTGTCCAACACTGGGGTTTTTCCACCTTCTGGCTGGCAGGAGGGAGGCAGCTGTACATTCCCAGTTTGGAAATGGTGCAGTTGTAGCTCCTCCATTGCCCCCAGGATGAATAATTTGTCTCTCACCATTCTGTAGCACAGAATATCCTCAGTACAGTCTGAGGAAAACCTCAAGGTCCCACTTTCCAAGCAGGGAAGGGCAATGGATGCAGGAATAACCTGCTGCTTTCTCCCAGCCTGCATGACCAAGTGCTAAACACATGCCCCACACGTGTGTGCAGGAGCATGGATGAAGCCAGGCTATCAAAAGGACATTTCAGACTGTGAAAGCAAAAGTCCAGTTGGGGAGAACCAGAGAGTAATGTGTATTTATGACTATTTATTTAATTTAATGCTGCTGACTACTGTACTGCTCCCTGACTTTTTTCCAGGGAGGCTGCTGAAATGGCTGCTGTACCATGAAATTGAGGTGCTAGGGCCTGGGAAAGGCTTTCTGTGGCTCATTTTCTCCACTGTGACTTGACAAACTGTCCCAGAGTCCCTTTTCCCCTCTTAGTTAGTCCCACAATTACTAAGCACACAAAATTCCCCTGCTGCTGGAATTTCCCTCTTCCAGAACTTTATTTCAAGCACCAAAAAGGAGGACACAGAGAAAGCCCTGGGATTCACCCTACCCATGCCAGGAAAGAGAAAGAACTCACTGTGAAAGAGGAGCCTGGAATGTGGGGTCTCCTCCACCTGGAGACAGAGAAATCAGAGAGGGTCACAGATAAATGCTGCTGGTCTGTATTTGTTGCTCACCAGTATCACATTCTCTCTGTTAGGGAGGCAAGGAACCCTTTTTCTCATCCTGAATCCTTTCTCCTGTGCAGATTTCCAGCTTCAGGCCTGGGCTGTTCCCTCAGGCTGGGCCCCAGAGACAGAACTGCACAAGCTCTGTTAAATCCGTGTCAGGCCAGGCAGCTGTAGCAATCTCAACACTGATATTTGTTGAGATATTTGTCTAATAATTTATCCTACCTGTCCAGTATTTGTCCTCCCTGCACATTAAGGTGGGTTTTTAACCTGTTTGACACCTTTCCTGACACTCAGCAGTGTGAAATCCTTCAGGAAGAGCACAGGGGTAGTGGGCACCGAGCAGAGCCTGGTGCTGCAGTGTCCTTCACACCCAGGGAGGTTTCTCTTTAGGGTTTTGGTTTTTTTCTAGTTATTTCCTTTTCCCACTTGGCAGCCAGTCTGGCTTGGAGCTGGATGGGATTCACAATCTTTTTTTTTTGCCTTTTAGTCTCACAGTAGTAATAAAAAGGGGAAAAACAAGGTCTTAAGGCACTAAGGGTGAGGGTTTAAACAAAAACTTGGAATGTTTTCACTTCCTCTGGAGAGCTGGGATAGAAATCGGCTGCCCCTGACCAGCCCCAGCTGACAGTCCAATTCCTTCCAGAGACAATTTTGGATTACATTTCCTGGAAGGATCAGTAACACTTTCTAGGAGTGAGAGGCCTGAGTAATGTTTCAGAGGGTGGTGCTTCCCTCAGCACTCACAGCCAAGCCTGGCTTCCACCATCAGGGTTTTCCTTCTCCCCTTGCTCACCTGGGCCAGAAATTCCCCTGGGTTCTTTCCACAGCAGGTGCATTTTCCCTGCCAGTCTGAGCCTTCCACCTGCACATCTGCTGGGGTTTTGTTTGCAGGATCTGAACAAACACAAAAAAAACCCAGGGAATTTCTTTATTTTTTTTTTTAAGGCATTTCTCCAGCCAGGCATGCAGAGGTAATGCCAGCTTGTAGCTTAATTCCTGCCAAGAAAAATGCTTCCTGTTGGGAGGAGAGGGAGCAGGAGGCTCTGATCCACCAGTTTGTGACATCCTCACTGATCTTAGCTTGGCACAGCCTCACCTGATAAACACACACCTTCCAGGGCTTATCTTAGAGCAGTCCTGGCAGCTGGGATGAGGGGATTCGAGTCCTGCTGTGCAACCAGGCATTCCCAGAGTGGATACCAGAGGTTTCTACAGCAGCAGCTGCCTGTAAAGTCTCTGAAGGACCAAAACCCAGCTTATTCCAGGTGGTGAGCTGCCCTAGGCAGGGGCACTGCTGGGCCTGCACATTCCAGATAGTAAATATGGGAAAACAGAAGACAGAAAGGCACTCACAGTGGGAAGGAGTTGGCTGTGGGTTAACAGGATAATGAGATTTTTGGGTGCTCTGCACTTCAGGCACTCTCCAGTCAGAACACTGTGCTATTAACTCATACTAACTGATACTGACTGCTGTCTAAAGCCTTCCTGGCTCCCTCGAGTCCTTTGGGAGAAGAGAAGGAAGGCTCATGACTTTGATCTCCCCTGAGCTGCCTGCTCTGCTGTGACAGAGGCTGCATTTACACCTCTGGCTGCTGTCCCTGCCTGCTGGCTGACACCTGACCCTGCCTGGATGCTTCTGATCTTAAAAGCAGAAACCTTAGGGACAGGAAACATCTCTAGTGTAATGTGAGCCTGGATTGGAAGAGGAAAGGTTTCAAAGCACAAAGCTTTGCTGGATTTGGAGCCCTGAAGGCACAAAACTGCCTCTGAAATAACAGGGCATGTGTTGGGAGATCTCCTCTAGGAATGCTGGTCCTGGAATGCTAATCCATGTCCCTGTCAGACAGTTTCAGCTCACCTGGGTGTAGGTAAGGACAGACTTTTCAGCCTCCTTGGCTCCTCAGCACTGTCCTTGTAGCTGCATAGGAGCTTTTTCTTACTTTGATGCAAGAAGGTAGAAGTTGGGGTTTTTTTTTTCCAGAGAGTGGCTGGAAACACTTTTGGTCTGGGTACTTGAGACCTTTTGGATTTGCCCTGCTGTGCTGCAGCAGCTGCTCTTCCCCACGAGCACAGAAACAAACTCCTGATTTACAGCTGGAACTGTCTGGTTCCACATTACACGGAAAATCAGTCTCAAAATCACTGTTTGAAGCAGCAGTGCCTGGCCCAGGGGAGGCAGCTCTGTCCAGGCAGCTGCTGCCACCCCCAGCTCTTGACAGATCAGTGCTTTCTGCAGCTCCTGCTCAGCTCCCAGGGGCTCCCACGGGGTCTGTGCCAGGCTGCCACGGTCCATGGCACAGCCACCTGGGCTCTGGCTCCGTCTGTTCAGTCTCAGCACCACTTACAACACCTGGCAGGGGCTTGCTTCAAACACAGCTCATAGCAGAGGCTCTGGAACCAAAGCCCCCGAGGGAAGTGGCTGACAGAACACCTGTGTGGTTCCTGGGCTGGTTTTCCAGCCTGCTCTGATCTCTGTGCTTTGCAGTCTCTCCAGCACGAGTCTCTCTGTGCCATAAAACCTCTTTTAGTCTAGATGTGCACACTGGCCAAATAATCTCGTGTCTTGGGCGACTGCTGGCCAAGGCCATTCCCTGATCTAGGCAGACAGCATGGGCTTCTCTCAGCATGGATCTGTGGCATGCCATGCCCTCCTCCTCTCCCACACGTTTTGCAGTGCTTGCTATGGCTTTTCCCTGTCCCCCCTCCCACCTCTGCTGCTGGACAATCATTACCTGTGTCATAGATGGTCTGACCTGGTGCTGTCCCTGCCTGCCTTCCCCTCCTGCAGTCTGTATGCTCTTCAAGTGAATGTGTTTTGGTTTATTTTTATTTTATTTTATTTTATTTTCAGTAGGGAAAAGGACTTCCTTCTGCTGAAGGAGTTATATTTGCACATGGCTCGGGGGGGTTCCTCCTCTGGCCGTTTCTGTTACCTCACTCATTTAGGCCAATTCCATTGCTAACGTTAAAGGCCACCTTCCCTGACCCAAACCCCGAGCGTAGGTAGGGAACAAACCCCGACGTGCAGCTCCGCTTCTGGAGCCGCGTGCTGGCATCCCTGCTGGAATTAGGATTTGGGAGAGCAGCTGTTCCAGCTCCATCCAGCAGAGAGGTGGAGCCTGTGCCACGCCATCCCCATCCCCGCATTCCCAGCTCCCGGGAAATGGTCCTTGGAGAGCAGGGATGGAGGCACCCGCCTGGCTCCGGGCTGGACGCGGAGGGAGGGAAGAGCAGCAGAGCAGTGGCAGCGTCACAACCTCCCCCGAGCGGCCTGGCCTGGCCTGGCACCTCTGGGACATCTCCATTCCAGTGGGATCTCCTCTCCCACCGCTGCTCCAGGGCTGGAGAAAGCTGCTAATCCCCTGGGGGGTGTTCTCCCCACCCGGATCCTGCAATCCCTGTGCACAGCTGGTGATGAACGAGGCTCTGCTCTCCTCGGCGCAGGAGCGGGTCCTATCACCACCACAGGCACATGCTTCCCTCCTGGAATCCCCTCCAGAGCCCGGGAAGCGGGGGGCTGATGGCTGAGGTGACTCTGGGGTGGGTGGGGGAAGGATTTTGTGCTTGTTTTAGGAGTTGTCCCGACTGTCAGAAACTTTGCGCTGTGCGCAAAAACCACAAAAAAAAAAACAAACCAACCTGCGGTTAAAAAACGATACTGGAACGGACGTGCTGGAATGTAGGAATTGTACAGGCTCTGCAGCCAAACTCCCTGTAAGTAGTTAGTACCATGGAAGTACAGTATCAATTAAAAAAATCTATCCAACAACCAGCGTGGCTCTTTGTTCTTTTTATTATCCTGCCTGTTCCGGAGTCTCCTCTCTCATTCCAATCACACACACACACACAGAGTCTTTGCCAGGACCATCTCTTCCAGGTCTTGAAAAAATCACCAATTTTTAAATTATTATTCTTTTTTTTCCCCTGTGAGATTCTTGAGCAGAACTTTGCACCCCGTTTCCTCCTGCTAGGAGCACCACGTGGCAATGGTCACCTCTGTCTGCAGGAACTGGGAAAGCAGATTTGTCAAAAAAAAAATGAGGGTCTGCAGAAGATGCCTGTGGGATAGAGGGAGGTGCAGGACAAGGGGACAGCCCTCCTTTACCACCTGAGGTAGCTCTCAAGAAGTTCTCGGGTTCACTCCCTTTTTGATTTAACATCAGAGCGTTATCCATGGTTCCCAGGGAATGAGCTGAAGTGGGAGAGAGGTGTCCTAAAATTCCCCCTGGGCTCAATGCTGTGGGCAGTGCTGGAAACTCCAGAGTTACAACCCAGTCCCTCTGTCGAGTTCAGGATTCTGCCAGGCAAACCGGGAAAAAGATGATATCCAGCTGAATTCAAAGAGGAGCTGCTTGGATATTCTTTTGGATATCAGGTTTTTGGGAACTGGTGCCCAGACTATTGAGTGTGCTTCATCTGGAAAATGTGCTCCCCTTGCCAGGCTTGGCTCTGGATTTGGGAGCAGTCCTACTACCAACACTGCACTGGAGTAGTTTACTAAAGTTGACACCCACTCTGAAAAAAGGGTTTTGAGCAAGTGCCAGTTGGAAATCTGGCCTGGGCCCCACTTCCAAATGGGGTAATTTCCGTGATTTTAGCGAACAAGCAAAAAGCAGCAGAAGGAAGCAGAGGGGATTCCGTGGGTGGGGAGCATGCCTGGAGTCACGAGCACTTTGGGATTGCGTACAAGCGGTCAGTGGAGCAGAATTTGTCAGCTCTGGCAAATCAGCACAAGCTCCATTGCAGCAGGGATGTCACAGCTCTGCCACACAACAAACACAAACCCTCCCCAGCTGGTTTTGCAGCACAATTCCACCCTGGCCAATGTTTCTGCCTTTTTCCCCCTCTTCTAATCCCAGCTGCTGAGCTCAGCTGGTCTCCTTGAAGGGTAGGAATCAATTTTTACTCTGCTTAACCCTCAGAAAAAGTAAGTTGGAAAGGAAAGATGGGATTTCCAGGGTGATTCCTGGGCAACAGAGGATCATTTAGGATGAATCCAGACTATTTAGACTGGTGATTAATTACCTCAAGAGAGAATTAGGATTAAGTGGGAAAAGTGAGTGTTTTCTGTCTATCCCTCTAGATGGTGCTGCTACAGCACCAGAGAACCATCACAGCTGTAAAACTGCAACCATTTTACTAAGCTGCCATCCTGTGAGGCCTTTGCATCCTGTTTATTTCCCCTGCCCGATGAGGCTGCCTTCCTTGCTGGGTTTCCCAGGAAAAGGTGGCTCTGCAGGTTCCTCCTCCCACTGTGTCCTCCAGGAGCAAGGTGGAAGGGGATGGGGGCTCTGACACCGAGAGGGACATGGGATTCTTGTACTTGCATCATCCTGCTTCCCAAAGCAGGAATATTTCAGGGTCTGTATTCTCAATTCCCTCCGGAAGAAAGTGTGAACATGGCACAGAGACCTGTCCTTCCTACTGTACATTTCCAATTTTAGTGCATTACCCTACTCTCCTTGTGCATAGATAGCCTAAGATTCAGAGTGACTTCATTAATTAATTAAATTCTTCCTGTTTTAACACCAAGAAAACTGCTTGGGCCACAGAATGTGGTGGAATAACCCCCTAAGAGAGCCTTGTTCACAGTCCTGCAGCTCAGAGCAACATGCCATACATCCCCCTAACCTCTGCAGTGGAGAAGGAGCATATTTAGCAAATATAGGTGGTGGTGAGAGCAGCTAAGAAGTGACAGGTAACATTTACAAAGCCATTGAGGTGATGATGGAAGTGAAACTCGGGAAGGAGCCGTGCTGCCCACACCCCTGTGCTGTTTGCTCAGCATGCTTCCACAGAAGAGTCCTTCAGCACCGGGCTGGCAGCTCAGATGGGGTCACAGGACCAAAGTCAAGGCTGTACAGAGTCCAAGGCAAATGGAAGAGAATTTACACTTCCCCGTGTTCCTCCCGACGGCGCAGAGCTCCCCCTCAAACCTGGCTGGCGTGGCATGGTCCTTCTGTCTTCAGAGCCCCTGCAAGGGAGACAATTCCTCTTGGACCTCACAGGAGTGAGGATCGCAACAGAGCGCAGGAACTGACGGGAGGTGAACGAGAGAGTAAAAGGTCCAGATCCTAATCCTTAGATTTAGATTAAACTCCTTCCTAGAACGTGTTTCCTTTGGAGATAGAGCCCTTCCAGTCCTCAGCTTGCCCCTGTGCAGGGGAAAGTGAACTCCAACTCCACAGAAATAGGTAAAGGAGGCATAAATATATACATAATACATAAATATATATATATAAAAATATATAATAATACATCATGGCCTGTGTTGGTTTGGGGGTTCAAGCAATACAAGTACACCTCATACCTAAAGGCACCTGTGTGTCTTGGGAAGCTCCAGAGGAGCACAGGCACGCTCCAGGAGTCTCCAGCCCCACCACAAGGAAGCTGAGGGGTGGACAGACACAGGGAGTGACCACCTGTTCATGACCCACCTTGGTGCCGTTCACTCCACTGCCCCCCCTCTGCTACTCCTCCACAGGCACAGCACAGTTCTCCTTGTTTTCCGATGGAATCGCGAGATAATCTGTCCTGTGGTTGGAGGGAAGGAGGAAAGCACACAGTGTAAATCCCAGTTTGGGTAAACTCACCTCTGCTGAATGCCTGGGAGCATCTCTGAGGTAACAAACGTCACCTGTAGATGCTCAGAGTGGGAAACTCCTTGGCCCAGGCAGGAGCAAACACCGAGACCTCCCTGCTCTGAAACCCTACACACCCAGCCTTCCTGTCTACAGAGTGCTCCAATCCCAGCCTAGTGTGTGGAAAGGTGGGAATGGGCCAGGATGAAACCAGACCTTGCAGGAGAGCATCTCCACATGGTCCAGACCACCCACCCTGGAGCGCTGTTCACTCCTGACCTGGTGTGTGGTCACAGTCTTGGTGCTCCTGAGCACTGCAAGGGCTTTGGGCAGAGCAAACACCGAGCAGCCCGTGCCATAGCAGAGTTCAGCCTCCCTGCAGTCTGCTCTGGGGCATGGGCAGAGCTCCTGCAGAACAGATCTCATCTCCAGGGGTTCCACACTTACGCGTTTTCCTGGGCAGCCTCCTCTGCCTTGGACACCTTCCTGTAGCAATAGACCATTTCAATCAGCAGCCACAGCGTGAGGAAGACCAGCAGAATATACATCATAATTTCTGAGATGACAGAGGTGAAGTCTTCTCCAGCTGTGAATAAAATGAAATATAACCCCTGATCATTTCCATGCAGCTCCATGGACACTCCCCACCCTTGTGTCATCCTTCCTAACCTGCCAGGCCTTTAGGCTGTGAGGGGGCAAAAGAGAGGGACCTGCAACAGGCAGGGATGGCAGTGCGTGTCTCCAGCAGGATCCAACACACACAGCCCTGTCTGTGCCACCCCCACATCCTCACGGATTGCTCACCTAGCTCATCTCCATGCTCTGTTTCCCCCCGTGTCCCACTCACTGGCTCTGCTGTGCCACCAGTGATTTGTAAAGGCTCAAAACACCGAGGTGCTCGTGGGGCAGAAAAAAGGGCTGAGAGCAGCAGGATCCCTGCTGGCCTGTGGGATTTCAGCACTGAACCCAGCAGCACCAAGAGGAACAGAAAGGCTCGGGAGCAGCACAAAGGGAAGAGGAGAAGGAGGAGGCTGGTATCAAAATGGAGAATGAATGGTTGTTCCAGGAGGGAGGGGGCGGCAGCAAGGAACGCTGCGGCTCCCTGGGAAAGGCATTGCTGTAACATCCCGGAGCCTCCACTGGAGGAGCTGGAAACCTCTGCTGGCTCCTGCCCAGCTGTGCCCAGCTGTGCCCAGCTGTGCCCAGCTGTGCCCGGCTCACCGTGCCTTCCCACCCTCACACACAACCAGCCCGCGCCTAAAAAGAGCCTCCAGCCACCAAACAAGGGACAGGTTTTTCCTCCTGAGCCCTGTTTGTCACTGACAAACTCAGAGCCCTCTCCTGCAGTGACAAACTATCCGCGGGTGACAACACCCACGGCCGGTGACAGCACAGAACAGCCTGTGGCAGCCGCTCCTACCCTCCTCCACCACGGTGAGGTGGATCTTCCTGGAGCTCTGGAAGAGCGGCCGGTGGATCTCGAACTCGAACTCGCGGGTGATGTTGCAGGTGTAGATGCCCGAGTCGTTCAGGGTCACGTTCTGCACGGTGATGGACACGTCCTGCATGTCTTTGCTCCCGTTCCACTGTATCCGCCCGCTGAAGCGGCTTGGAAACTCGTGGTTTGATTTCCTGTACTCGTAGATCTGTGAGGAAGTGTAAAGGGTGTGCTGGTTAATCTCTGCCTTGGACAACCCCACGGCACGAGCCAGGGACAGCATCACCCTCCAGCTGCGCTCAGGGATGCTCTGAGCTCCCTTGGTAACAGCAGCTATTCATATTCCATCCTCCTTTGCCTCCAACTATCAGGTGACTTTACAAAAGACAGGAAAATGAGTGATCAGGAATTCAGTATCTCCATCAGAGAGGGAGAAAAACTAAGGCACAGCAAAACACAGACGTGTGTGGACGCAAAAAGCCAGCAATGGAACAGAAAACTGGGATTCCTCGTGCCTAGCAGTGTACCTGTGAGGAAAGAGCCACCGAATATCCACAGGGAAGAGAAACAGCCCTTTTTGGGACATTCAGCTGAGATGGAAGTGCTGCAGGACAAATATGACATTCTGGCTGACCACAGTCCCCAGCACACTTTGGTTGGTGTTCTTTGGGTTGCCACTGGTGTATGGACCCCCCCAGGGCACTGGAAGTGAATTCCCATCTTGTTCCTTAGCCTGATCCTTTTAGTTCTCACACAGAAGGAGAATATTTGCCATCCTGCCAGGCCCTGCTCATTCATAGCCACTGATTTAATGCCTCAGACTCAGATAAAACAGCTAGAAAGAAAGGTGCACTCAGCCTTTATTTTGTTCCTCACTTCACCTTTCTCTCTTGAATTCCAGCTGGCCCTCATCTGTCCAATTTCCATTTTGATTCACTCTGAGAATCAATTTTACCTTTTCCTGACAGGGATCCAAAGCAGCTCCCAGAGATCCTCCCAGCTGAGATAACACTGCTTTCTCTGAGGCAAAAAGAAATCCTGCCCTGCAGATCTCTTGGAGGCCAATTTCACCTCCAAAAGAAGAGCTTTGGGACTCAGAACTGATTCAGACAAGGCTACCAAGTGTCAGTCATATCTGACATCCTTAGATACCGGGCTTGAGGTATTGAGGGAATGGGACTGGAAATCGGCACTGATGAATTTATAACCCAAATGTTTGAACTCAACGACTGATTCCAGCTTTTCCTGACAGGAGTTTGTGCTGTGCCCGGGTGTGGAAATGGGATAAGCAAGGAAAGAAATGGACTCAGATCCCAGACATACATACAGGCTCATCCTTTCCCCCCTCGGGCTTGTAGAACCACTCCACCACCGTGCTGGCCGTCACCTCTTCCCTCTTCATGCAGGAGATGCAGAGCAGCTTCATGTCCGTCCCTTGGACAGCCTCTGTCTCAGATGGGACCTCCACACACACTGAGGAACAAAATCCAGCTGGGGGAGAGGAGCAGCAGAGAAAAGAAGTGTTAGGAAGAATTAAAGAAACATCAGTTATTCACATCTTGGCATTAATGTCCCCAATGGAAAATGGTTTGATTTATTATTAGTGCTGCCTGAAAACAGATTAAGCCTCAAATGTCAAATTTTACCAAGCTTCCTTCTCCTGAGATATTAATAATTCATAATAATTAACAGAGGGTGATCACTTCACACAGATTCACCTCTCCAGCCTCTGCCTTGCCACAACTTTCATCTTTCCCTGGTAATTAATGCCACTTTAAAGGCATTGTTCATTCCCTCCCATGCGTGATGGGCATGCTCCTGTTAGAGCAGCAATTAGTCTGGGATGAGGGGGAAGCCCAGAATTCCAGAGTGGAGGAACAGCTCTCTCTTTGTGCTAAGTTGGAAGGTCTGGATGCTTTAATTCAGCAAAACTGGGAGGGTCCAGCACCCTTCCTGTCCCTGGGCTCCACGGGCACTACTGGGAACCGAGGGGAGTGAATTTGGCACAGGAGGAGTTATTGATTTCCCAGGTATTGCTGCTCAAAACGCTTCCAATCAGAGCTCTCAAATACTGCTCTTGCAAAGAGGACAGAAATCATGGCATGTGAAGCCACACGCTGGAGCAGGGATCGTTTCAGCACGACATCTCTGACCAAATCCCTGCTGACATTTGTCCCCGGGCTACACAATCCCGGGCTCTGGCTGTCCAAGGCTGTCTCCAGAGCCCAGACGCTGACTTTGCTGGCTGCTCCCTCCTCCCCAGCCTCCCAGGCACCATTAACCCTCTCTCTCAAACAACATATTATCCCGGGACTATTCCTGGAAGCAGCCTGGTTCCGGTTCTCCCGTGCTACCAGCTCCACGGACAGCAGCAGCTTTCAGGGAGAAATAAGGAAAAGCTCCTGGGTCCTGCTTTGCTCTATAGGCACAGACAGGCACCCACACACAGGGCTGAAGGCACACGCGCATCCAATGTGGCAAAAGCACCCAACCTCCTCTCGTGGCAGGAATCAAACTGCACTTGCAATCCATTGATTAACTCCAGTTTACACGGAGTGCACGGGAAAGCGGCACTAAAACACCGCTCGATGGGCCGCACACCCTCCCGGAGGCAATGTGTTAAAATACGCTGCAAAGCCCGGAGCAAGAGCAAACAGCAAGGGCCCGGCACACGCTTTGTGCTCGGCACCGCGGTGTGTTCTCACACTCACACCAACTCCGCAAGAGCGAAATCCCCTTCTCCCGACAACAAAAAACCGGGCGCGGAGGGAGCATCCTCCCTTCTCTCCGGCAGCATCCTGCCAGCGGCAAGCCCCGGAGGCGCTGGGGCCGGAGAGGCAATGGCAGCACCTACCCCAGAGCAGCAGGGCGAGCGCGGCCGAGCAGAGCAGCCGCGGCAGCGCAGCCATTGTTCCAGGCGGGCCGGAGCTCGGGATCCTCGGCAGGATGCTCCTCTTCCCCTCTCGCCGTG